TTTTTTTTACGAAAATCGCTTAAATGGTCATAAAATTGGTGTTCCTCTACTCGGATCGGGCTGGCAATTTTTTTCTACACTTTTAGGTGTATTTTGTGCAAGAAAATGCAATAAAATAGTCTGTCTAAGAAAAATTGAATATTTTTGAAAATTTTTTATGGTTATGTTTGAGTTTTTGGTGGTAATAGGGGTCTCCCTCTACTCGGATTTGTCTGTCAATTTTTTTATGCACTTTTAGTTATATTTTGTGCGAAAATTTGCAATAAAATTTTGTGTTTAATGAAATTTTAATTTTTTTGTAAAATGTAGTGGGTTATATAAGGGTTGCGTTGTTTTTCTAATTAATTTGGGATTAAAGATAATTTTTTTTGTTTAGTATAATGATTTTTGTAATTTTTTGTTGTTAGGTAGTATCTTTGTTTTTAAAATGTCGATGATTTGTTTTTTAGATTAATTTTCGAAAAATTCTATGGTATTGAATAATAAATATCGAGTTGACAGATTAAAATATCTGATATTAATAATTATAGTTTAAACTTCCAGGGACGTTGAATTTTAGGTTGAAAATTGAATTGAAACTAAATTTTGAACTCTCCTACATAATAGAGTTGTACTCTTGTTTTAGGTGAGTGATACCATATCAGAAAATTTGATAAGTTTACGACTATATGTATTTATACAGTAAAACTTTTTTGATCAGCTTCCAGTGTAAGATACTTTAGAAACTTATTTAAATCTAACAATGTATTTTAAATAAAAACTTGGATGAACGAAACAATGGAAATTTTAAATATAAATTTAAAGTTTTTTTTTAATGACAATTGAAACAAAATTCTGATATATATAGCTTTTTAAAATCAGACCCGTTCAATTTCTTACTACCAATTTCACAAAATCTTTCATCTCTTATTCTTTGTCTCTTTTGATTCCATTGTGTGTCTGTTCTGGTATTTCTTTCACCTTATTTTCAGTGGTGTAAAAGTTTCTCGATGAAATCGCTCTCGCTTCTTTTCTCATCGAGACTCCTTTTCAAAAAAGTTTTTCTTTTTATTACTGATAATGGAACTTGTGCACACTTTAATTGTGTGTTAAAAGAGCTGAAAATTGACACTTATTTTTGAAAATGATCAATTGTCTAAATTAGTTTCCAGTTTAATTTTTAATTCTTTTCCTGAATAAAAATGTAAATTTTTTTTAGTCAATCAAAAAGTTTTATTTCCCATAAGCCTCATCGAAAAAAATAAGAAAAACTAAAAACAAAGTAAAAGTAATCTAAAACGGAGGAAAATTGTGGTGGTCACGCTAAAAGAATTTACACAATCCCTCCTGGCAAAAGGAAAATAAAATCGGTTGCATTTACCACGGTGAACAAATAAAGTTTTTCTCCCCAGATGCTGTGATTTCATTAAATTCAACATGGAGTAAATTTTGTTCTTTTATTATTATTTACCTTGGTTTGACATATTCTCGTTGGTCATCTTAAATTTCAGCCTCAATATATATCAGAAAAGATCACACAAGGGAAGTTGGAAGAGTTATGGGAAAAGTCGTTTTCTCTCGTCGTGACGTCGCTTGGGAAATGCGTGAGTTTATACGCGTTTTACTGAACGAGGAATACGCGCGGACCATCTCTTGGCTATAAGAAGTCAATACGACTTTTAGCACAGTCTCTATCTTTGTCACTTTTTCTATTTTCCTCTCTCTCTCTCTTTTTCTGTGTCATTTTCCCTCACTTTTGCCCTGCCTCTTAACCTAGCGTTCTTCTCTTTCTCCTCGTCAGTAATAGTACCCTGGGGAACTCGAATAGAAGGGTCCGTGCGCGTCTTATTTCTTACGATTTGCACCTCCACCTCCTCAAGAAACCGAGGTTAGGGTTCGTTTGAGCAACCTCTAAAGAAATACACTTCAAGTATCCTACTACTGCATTTTACAGAGAGAGAGCGAGAGGACAGAAAACGATATAGCGCTTTTCTCCTTCATCCGACCTTCCGACAAGGACCAATTTTGCGGTCATTGGCTCCTTAAATTTCCCGTGTGTAACACGCAACATTATTCTTTATGACACACTATGAAATTTTACAAAAAAGAAATAACGGCAATTTATATATCTTTACACCTTAATGGGTTTAATGAGAGAAAAAAAACGTTTTAACGGATTTTTTTTTTGAATAGGGAGAAAAAATGATTTATAACTTTACACTCTTAGTAGTGTATTTAATGAAAAAATTACTTTTTAATTTTATTTGATGAAAAATAATGTAATCTGTCGTTGAAAAAATAAAAGAAAAAATAATTTAGAAATTACGTGTAGAAAGAAGAAAATTTAATTCAAATGTAATGAGGGACACGTTATTTGAATATAAATGGAGAAAAAGTTATATTACTTCAAGTGCATGTTCTAGAAAAAATATAAATTACAAAATTTCTGTCTGGCTGAAACTGTATTTTACTACTTACAATGGAAAATGACTAAGAGTTGAAAATGTTTTGTCTCACTAAATCTGAATTTTACTACTTACAGTGATAAAAATACTGGAATTACAAATGGATTGTCTGACTAAAATTGAATTTTACTACTCACAAAATAAAAAATCTGTAATTAAAAATTTTTTGTTTGACCAAAACTGATTAAAAAAATCTTATTAAAAATGTTTTGTTTGACTAAAACTGAACTTTACTACTTACAGTGTAAAAGGACTGTCATTAAATTGTTGTCTGACTAAAATTGAATTTTACTACTTATAAAGTAATAAATCTGTAATTAAAATATTTCTGTCTGACTAAAACTGATTTTTCTACTTAAAATTAGTGAAAACTGTTCTGTCTGACTAAAACTGAACTTTACTACTTTCAATTAAAATAAATATAATTAAAAATGCTTTGTTTGATTAAAATTGAACTTTACTACTTTCAATTAAAATAAATAGATGCTTGTCTGACTAAAACTAATTTTTACTACTGATATGTCAATTATGAAAACTTAGACTGTCTGACTATAATTCGTTTTTACTACTAACACGGAAATAAAAAAATAAAAAATGTTGTCTGACTAAAACTATCTTGTACTACTAATTATGTAAATGTAAAGAATTATTTATCAACTATGATAAAAAAATCACCATTTAAAACTTTATTTATAGATTAAACCTTTAGCTCTTTTTAAAATTAAAAATTTTACAATGTTTAAAAATATACAAAAAATATTTTAATAAGTTTTGCACCTAAAAATTTTTTTAGTAAAATTTTTTTTTACAACACTTTTCTAAGATAATTTTGATACTCTAATTACTTATGAAATATAAAACGTGTATAAAGCTTTAACACGAACTCTGGTGGTAACGAATAAGGCTAATGGATGGATGAAAACTGAATGAAATCTCATAACCCGCGGACGCGTGAGAGAAAAATTGATGAAAATTAATGGCCTTCTAACTTCCTTGATGCTTAAATTCTTTTGAGAGTTAATATTTTCTAAAAAAAAAAAAGAAAAGAAAAGGAAAGAAAAAAAGAACTGAATGAATGAAAATGGAAAAATTTTTATACACGCCAGACAACTATTTATCTTAATATAGTCAAAGAGAGCAATTTTTATAAATAAAAAATATTTTAATCATTTTTATCTATATTTCTTTATTTATTTGTTTTTTTTTTGTTTTCATCTTTATTTTTTATTTATTTTTACCTATATTTTCTTCTTCCTATATTTAAGGGATATAAATAACAAATTTTCAAGTCCATATTGTTTATTTAAATCTAAATATAACTTTTATCCATCTTTTCTACTTGGCTCATTTTTTTCTTTTCCAATGACAGAAAATTCCAGAGTACATTCTAGATAAATAAATATTTCAACAAATGTAAATATTTGAAATTCTTTTTATACTTTATGTTTGAGACGGAAATCTTATATATATATGTGATATACAAAAGCAACCTCAGGCAAAAAGTCGCAAGTGTTTGCGCCCATGACGAGAATAGTATGCTTTTTCCAACGTGGGTCGACTATATATTCTTTATTCTGCCGAATAAACGTCCTATTAAGGTGAAAAATCCGCGGAGAAAAAAAAACCACTTTTTGAAATATATAGAAAACAAAAATATAAACATATATAAAAAGTAATAAAAGCTTTTGTAAATGCGTAGACACACTCTCGGATATGTGAAGGATTCAAGTCAATTTATTATTTTCAATGGAGCTTGCAAGGAAGTAGAAAGGAAATAGAAACGAAAAGTTTATTTTCATTTCTAATATACTTTTATTTGTTAAAAGACTTTTCTTTTTTTTTTTTTTTTCTTTAGGAAGAACAAAATTTTTGTTGTTTGCTTTATTAATTATTGTAAGTGCATCAAATGTCAACAGAATTTTTCTTTATAACTCCCTCCCCTTTTCCCTTAATCAGGAAATGAGTTTTTCTCGTTCGATGTCACAGTCACTACGCCCATATAATATCCCTTATTTATAAGGGAAATCCTAACGGAAAAAATCAATTTATCTTGTCAATCATCAATTGTTTTCAAGACAAAGAAATATCATTTGTAACTAATATTTATTATTTATGGATAATTACTGATTTTTATAAAATTATTTGCAAAAATCGAAGGAAGCAAAATTATTGTGAATATGAGAATACTAAAAAAATTTATTTGATTCAAATAATTGGTTACTTGACATCAAATAAATATTTACTTGAATCAAATAATTTTTGTAACAAAATAATTGAATTAAATTGAACCAATATTTTATTTAATTTTATTTGAACCAATATAAATTTTGTATTCGGAACAAATATATAATAATTATTAGATACAAATAAATATTTATTTGATAATAGTAAATTAACCAATTATTTGAATCAAATAAATTTTTTGTTAAAAAAATAATTATAAGATTCATTCGAATTAGAATTATTCCTATTCTAAATTCTAAATTCTAAATTTTTAATTTTAAATTCGAAATTCTAAAGTTATTTTTCTAATGAAAAATAATTATTGAATTACAGGCACAACGAGGCCAATAATGGCAATGGAAGAATCAAGTCTTCCTCAATTAATAGTACCTGCTTCCCATACGGCACTATCTCGCGACTTGACAGTAATGATTTTGGATTTACCATCAGTCACTCCTTTAGGAATACCAGAAATTTTAAAAAAATCAACAACGACGACAACGACAACAACAGAAATTCCAATAGATGAAGATAGTGAAGAATATGATTTGGATACAATTGAAGATGATATTCAAACACCCTATGTTCTTAGGTTTGTATCAATTTTTTTCAATTTTTAAAAATAATTTTGCAATTTTTAAAAATTAAATTTTTTATGAAACAAAAACATTTTTTTCATTTAAAAAAAAATTATTTGATTCAAATAACCGATTACTAGACTATTATGAAATAAATATTTTTTTGTATTAAATAATTGAGTTAATTGGTATTTGTATCAAATACAAAAATTAGTGATTCAAATATTCATTTAATTCAAATGAAAAAATTTATACCATTAATTTTATATTATTTATTTTGTTAAATTAATATAAAATAAAGTAATAATAAATATTTATTTGATAATAATCAAGTAACTGAGTATTTCTATTAAACACATTTTTTTTCAGTGAATGTTTTTTTGATTCTAATTTCGAAAATACGATACTAAATATTACCTATGAATGGGTATGGGAATACAATGGAATTGTTTGTTTGTTTGCAGAGTTTTGAGACTAGATGAATTTACATCGGAGTTGGTTGGTCAAGTTCCTGTTGAAACTCATCCTCCTACAGGTGGCAATCTTTCCCTAACTATACCCTGTGGTTTCTTCTCCCGTGGAGGTACCTATTCTATTCGTCTTCAATCAAAGTCCGATCCCCCACCACCGAAATTTGCCAATATTGCAAATCTACACCAAGTTCAGGTAAATAAATCTAATTCTATTCGAAAATCGGATAAATTTTTTAATTTTTTCTAATTTATCAAAATAAATTTTTTTCAATGTAAAAAATTATGAAGTCACATATTTTTTTTTTGCATATAATCTAGAGTTATTAATAAAAAAAAATAATAATAAAAAAAATTTCATTATAAAAGTCAATTTAAACTGGAAATGCAATTTTTTTTTGTTGTTGTCTTGTCAGTTATCATTTCATCTTTTTTTCCAGAGCTTTTTCTTAAATTGTTGTCAACTTTAGTGAATTCATGTACTCTGATTCAATTCCCCTGTCTGCTGAAAAGGAACTCTTGCATTTTACAGAATACTTATTTCAAATGCGAAATCTAATAACGTGCGACGACTCGCAATTTAAAGAATTGAGTCGACTACGTTAGTATGTAAAATATCGTGATATATAGAAATTGCACTGATATGTACATACACACAATATTCAAAATTTAATTAAATTTTTATTCATATTATAATTTTTAATAATAATATAATAATAATTTAATTTATATAATTTTGTAATAATAACTTTTTTTTCATCTTTTTAATATTTTATATATTTTTTAAACTAGTATATTATTTATCTACTGGGGCGCGACTGTTAAAAATTAAATTAAAAAATTCTATATTTGATTGGTATTTAGCCAATGTCATTGAAATCTTTCTCTCTAAATTGGTATTAGTGAAAATTTTTTAATTCTGTTTTAAATTTAATTTTACGAAATAAATTTTTTTTTTTTATTTAATTTAAAAATTTCAATGACATTGTTTCCAAGATGTACCACGTGGAGGTAACCAATCGCACATCTCACAAAGAACCCAAAAAAAAAAAAATTTTCAACATTTCCATTTTGCGCAAATTATAATACACAATTGAAATCAGAGTAATAGTTAAATTTACTAATATTGTTAATTAGTTTCGAGGTTTTGAACATTAAGTTTGTAATGCATTTATGTTAATTTTGACATTGGTAATTGAATTATTTTTGCAGATGAGATCAACTTTGGATGTAAGATGGCCGATTCCTTCTCTATCTATAGAACCACAACATTTGGAAACTTATCCTATTCAACCAGTTCTAGCAACTTTGGAATATACAGGAGTTTCCTGTCAACCCACCCCAGGGGTTCCAATTACAACTTATTCATTGCAGCTCATTTTTTGTGGCGTCAGTGTTCTGTCCTGTGATCCTAGAAATAAGACACTCGTACAGGTAATAAATTGCCTCTCGTCAAAATCAACAATTTTAATAATTAATAATAAAAAATGAAAATAAAAATATTTTATTAAAAAAAAAATCGACTACAAAGAAGTAATCTGTCTTTGTGTACTTTATTGTATTTAATTCTACATTGTATGTAAGCTTTACGTAATACTTTGTAACATGAGTTTGTCGGTTACAGATGCTTTATACCGAAGAGGTAAAAGGATTTCCAGCACAGAAGGTCGTAAAGCTACGATGTGAATTTTTCGGTTTGGCCGGACATTACGCTCTGAGGCTGAAACCCTCGGAAGCTAATCCTAATGCCCCAACTACCAGTGCCTATATTAAGGTTAGTGTGTATATGTCCTTGTGTCTTTTTCGTTTACACATGTAATTCTCGACTTGTTGAAAATTTCAACTCACCTCTCGTCAAATTCACATTTTCAGTATGTACGTTAATGAGAAACACAAAATGAACGGAAATTCCAAGTATATTTAGTAGATTGAGAGTTTATAATTTATACATTTCACGTGCCGTTATATATGTAAATTAGAGAGAGAGAGTAAATTTAATTTTAATTTGTTTCAATTATTTGCGACTAATTTCTATATAAATATTTGTAAAATTAACTTTATTTATCTACTGCTTAGACTAAAAGGAAAATAACGTACTTTTCCTTTTAAAGTGGGTAAAGTTATTAAGCATCAGTTAAGCGAGACAGTATATACCTAGAGTAAGTAGTTTTCTTCATGATGAGGAGATTCTGGCGCCTTTAGCAATATTTTAATTTATATTTTTCCATCGCAATAAACTGACTCCATTTAAAAGTATTTATATATAGAAATACAGTAGTACTAATTTTAATTAAACATCTTGAATAATACAAGGAAAAAAAAAGGTGCGAAATTACATGTCCATTGCAAATGAATAGTTATTAAGATATTTAAAAAGAATTTTTCTTTTAAATTTTTTCCAAGGAAGTTGAATATTTTACACAACAAATTGTAATTAGAAAAAAACAATTTTTAAAAGGAAATATTTAAAAAAAGGTCTAAAAAAAACTTTTGTTTTGGGAAGAAATCTGTTTTAGAAATGGGTAAAGAGTTTTTAAAATGTTTACTTCACTTTTGGGATAAAGACAAACTTTACATTTACTAAAGAAAACTTCTGAAACTATATATATATATATAGAATAAAAACAAGAAAAAAACATCAGCAAAAGTAAATCTTTAAAGATTTATCTTTTTTCTTTGACTGAATCGAAACCTAGTTTTGTAAAAAGTTTCAGATCTACTTTCAAGTGCTTTTTGTGTGCATACAATGCTTTGGGCTTCAATTCACGAATTAAATCAAACAAATTCGTTTTTGATATTAGATTAGTTTATCGAGATCCTATATATGAGAGTAAATTGACTTTTTGTTAGAATCATCTACCAATATTATTTTTATTGAAAAAATAAACTTTTTGATTTTATTATTATTATTATTATTATTATTATTAAACGTCAAAATTGCGTATATGTAAAAAATTTGCAATTTCGTAGCTTATGAATACTGAAACTTGAAACATTGGTGGATAATTTGAAAGTAATTAAACTGCACAAAGAGTATGAATGTTCCAATTTTATAGAATTAGTTGGTCCTCTTTGTGAGTCAAAGGGATCGGTAAAATCCTTCACACAGATATAATTCAACTTTCAACAAATCCTAGTCGTTCATTTAAACTTCAGCTTCATCATTCTATGAGGACAAAGTGTTTTTTTTATTCCAAGACAAAGAAAACAAGGATTTGTTATTTTAAAGTCACTACTTTCAATCTACTCTACCAAATAAATATAGAATTTTTTTTAATTAAATTGAAAATAAAAATAATTGCTATTATAAATTAATTTTTATAAATTATTAGTATATTAAGTAATTAGTAAATTTAATTTTAAAAATTAACTAAAGAAATTTAATTTTCCAGGTGGAGTGGTCCGAACAATTTGTATTTAATGTTCATGCACGATCTGTTTATCCATGTGATTCAGGATCAGGTGGTGTCTCAGTACTTTTTGAATATCCATCTTGTAGACTACCTGAAGATCGTGTGAGAGTATACGGACGCCTTAGGGCAGACGTCGCGTCGCTTGCACCACCTTCATCCCTTCATTACGTTGCAGAATTGAAAGCGCCTCCAGGAAAACATACATTGACCTTCGACTGTGACATTTTCACCGAGAGATTCGTGGAGTATTGCTTCGTCTATGTTAGCCAAGCAATTACTGGTGCAATGGCCGAAGTTAGAGTCGATTGCATTCCCACATTTCCACTCGAAGGTTTGTTGAAAAAAAAAAAATTATTTGAGACAGAAAATTACTGCCTTTTTTCACAAAATCATAATTTTTTATCTATATATTAGTCGGAAAGAAGTTTTTCTTTTTTTAGAAATATCGAGCCCAAGGGAGAGAAGAAATTTTTAATAGTCCATTTATCTTCATTTTTTTTTCCGAGGAGAACTAATTGTTCCTTTTTTTCATGAAGAATGAAAGAGTAGGTCGCAAGTTTAATTTTAGTTATTAACTTTCTTAATATAGGCTTGTTGGAATGAAGAGAGGACTATTAAACAAGGCTCGGGGAAATTCAACCTAAAGTAGGTAACGCGTCATGTCAACCTTAATGAAGTTAACGCCGCGACTAAATTCCAAGGATATATTACATAGGTTCCAGCAAGCGATACTTAATCCGAATTTTAGTGCTTTTGGCATCAGTCCTCTTCGAGAAAAGTGCAACTATTAAACAAATTCGTTAAACAAGCTAGAATTTTCCTATAATAAAAAATTACTCATTCCCCAGAAAAAAAAAATTAATTAAATTTCTATTGATTCCATAATTTAAATAAAAATTTCATACGTTATAAATTTCAACAAAATAACATTTTTCATGTAGAATAAAATTGGCAGAAAAAAAGAAAATGGAAAGAAGTAATTCTGTTGGAAAAATGCAGAATCTTTATTTTCCTATAGAAATGTGTGTCTTCTGGGAAAATTGTGCGAGATAACTTTGAATTGTGTAAAAATGGCACCTCTAATCTAAGAATGATAGAACACTTAAGATTGACGCGCGACGAATAAAGCTTTTCTGAACAATCCTTGGAAGAATAGAGAGAGAAAGAGGTCTCAATAGGGTACTTTCTGCGTGCTCTTGTTATTCAGGGAAAAGAGGCTTAAAAACAAGGGAAACTAGAAAACGTATTTTTCTCGGTGTGCTATCATCCCCCTCTTCCTGACACTTCTTCTAAGTTTTAAAAGTACTCAACATTTTTTTCTTCATTTTTTTGAACAAAAATCTTCTCGAAAACGATTCAGAAGAGGGTATAAAAGTAGTTCTTGTACTTTTAAACGTATTCTTCATCTCTCATCTTCAGCCGTCAAAGGAGAATCGATCGAACGAGTTCTTCATGTATTTTCTTATATACATATATACATCTAGAGGAGTTCTGCATAGTTTGTTCTATTGACAAGAACATGAGTACTATCGATCTTACAAGACGAGGATTGATGTCACTATTCGTGAATTTTTACAAGCTGTTGAAGTTGTGCGCAATTTTGTCGTTTTATCATTTTCCCCAAAGGTTGTCAAAACGCGACATTTATGTGAATGAAATTTTTCCCGTATATTTCATAGTAGCTTCGAAAATACTATTTTTTAATTATCATAATTAACTTTTTAAATGAACAAATAATAATTTCAAATAATAATTAAATATCAATATTTTGAAAGAAATTTATCAAAAAATCTCGAAGCAAAGTGTCATCAGTTTTCTAAATGAAAATCTTAAGTTCAGTCGAGTGTAAAAAGTGTCGAGGTTTTTGCTTTCCTAATTTAAGAAACAAAGTTACTTTTACACCAACAAGAAGTCGCGAGGGCAAAGATTATGAAGCTGTAAAGTTTCTATACTGAAATTAACCGATATCGGGCATCTCTTCCACTCTCCATTTATTTTTTCCAATTTTTTTTTTTTTTTTTTTATTAAAACTTTTTCGTTTCCGTTGACTCGAGCGTTACCTATTTATCACAGAGAGAGTCAAGTTCTGAATATATATATATATATATATATGCTACCGAACCACGCCTCAAATCGCCTTTGAAATTAACTTCCGACGAAATTCCGTTGGTAAACGTTTTTTGTTGTTTGGCAAATTTACCGCGAAAAAACCCTCCGGTGAAAAATGATTCAGACAATCGAGAATACAACGCGAGCGCTCTAGTTTTATAAAAGAATTGTAGTCACATGGTAAACAATAAAAAAAAAATTCGTTCAAGTTTTCATTTTTCAAAGTATATATATAACGACATTTTATATTTAGAAAAATCATATTCGATAAAAGTTGAAATTAAAACAAAAAGAAAAAAAATATATCAAATTTGTTTGTTGGTCACGTATATAGAATATAAAAAATTCAAAGTAAATTTCCTTTGAATGAAAAAGCTTTAGAAATTGTGATTTCTCTAAATTTCAAGTTGATTTATTTTACGAAAAAATATTTATAAATAATTTTATATTTCTGTTTTGTGTAAATGAGTTTTCTTTTGGTTGAAAATTTCCATACATTTGTGTAATCAAGTGAAAATTTTCGATCATCCTATAGATTTGCGCAAGGAAATTTATTTTAGTTAGAGTCAATAAGCAGACACGATTCTATCAGAATGACGGATCGGCTTTATATACTAGTGAATAATTCAATATTTATCCAAGTATAAAACCGCGCGAGCAAAGGGACGATTATAATCCGCAATAGATTTTCAAAGATTATAATTTACTTGCTCAAATATTTATGTTTTTTTTCCATATTTAATTACTGATGACAAAAGAAGATATGATTTTATTTTTAGGAATGATCATTTTTTTCATGTCTACATTTAAATTTAAATAATTCAATATGGAAAAATAAAATGAGTTATTTTCCAAGGATTATCTCATAAATTTCAAAAACTGAAAATTTTTCCAAAAATACGGAAATTTTTTTACTTTGAATTTGAAAAATCAAAAAAAAAAATTCCACTTTGAGCAATTCTTCAATATTTTTGTTCTATCAATTGCAAATTAGATTATTTGAATAACGTTTTTTTTTTGTAGAAGGAGATGCTGGAGGTTGGGGTCCTTGGAGCCAATGGACTCCTTGCAGTAGTTCTTGCGTCGGCGGAACAAGGAATCGTTATAGGTTTTGTGACAGTCCACCCCCAAGATATGGAGCACAATTCTGTCAGGTGATTATTTACTGCACCTCGTGCATTTATTACCTCGCGACTATATGAAATTTCCCCTTAAAATTAATCAAATAAAATTTATATTTCCCCAAATTTTTTCTTTCAAGATACATTTTTATTCCTATCTGAAAAAAGTATTTGCCTTTTTTTTTGGATCTTTTAACATAATCCATCTTTTCGTTTTTTTTCGTTACCTCTTTTTTGGTAAACTATTCACATAATGTAAAAAAGAGAAATTTAACATGATAATAGTATTAGTGAATTTAATCCAGGAAAATCCGTATTACTATAGTTATATATTGTAGACCACAATCTACTTGTTGCATTGAAATCGATGAAATTTACATGTTAAAGGGCAAGGCTGTTGACTCAGAGGCTTGCGGTGGTACAGCACAGTTGGATCTTCATGGATCTTTAAGCCAAGGCGATTGGGAGTGTCGCCATGGTCGAGGTTTAGCGGCCGACAGACCGGAAGTGACTGCCGAAGTCGGTACCAAATGTAGATGTGGATGCGTACTGAATATGAATGCAAACAAGATGAGAACGATTCTAGCGGCAAGCACTCAGGCATGTCCTGAGCGTTCCTTTTGGCTTATTCAGGTAAATTTATGGAAATTATCCTATTTATAGGATTTATGTTCATATTTCCACAAAGAATTCAATTTTCCCTTTTATCTACATATGTGTAAATGTAACATTAAGTAGTTTTTATATTTTCCATTCAAATTTATTTCTCATAGAAAATTTTGCATTTTATCTTTTATTTTTCTTTATCAATTTCATTTTTTTTTTTTTTTTGATATATTTTATTAAAATCTTTTTCTGATTGTATAATTAAATATTACTTCGATCTTGTGTAATTGAATTGTTTTACACTCGGAATGAAATTTTTTTTGCAGGCTTCCAAAGAGAATGTAATCAGATTGAATCTGGATCAAGCAAAGTTTCCATGTCCAGGGCAATACGTTCGTGTTCGTGATGGGGATTCCCTTAGCGCTGAACTTCTCGTCGATGTTGCTTTTGACAGAAAAGAACCACCAAGTGGTGCGATCGTTTCTTCTGGTGAAACTTTACTTCTTGAGTTTTTTAGCGATGGAAAGATGGCTGAAGGTGAATCTTGCATTGGTGGTTTTCTCGCTCATTTATTGATGATCGGTAAGTTAATATCTTGGCTCTCTGTATCTCTATAATTAAATTATGGCTACTTCGTTAATTTTACAAATTATTAGTAAACTGAAACTTATCCAAGAATATTGTATTTCACTTCATTAAATTTCAATTTAATTATATAGTTTCATTTCAAAATCAATTTACAATTAATTTTGTTAATTTCATTGGTTAATAAATTGAAATTTTTTAATTTTGTATTTGAATAATTAGAAATTAGGTTTTTATTGTAATAAATAGAATTGGCCAATTTGTAATTAAAATAAATTTCCATCAGGGAAACCACATGGGGAAAATGAAACCACATTACCAACAACTGTATTTCTGAAACCGACAATCATTGCTGCTGCTGGCAGATGGGCTCAATGGCTTACACCAGCTCATCTTTTTGCAGCATCTCTTTTGCTTTTGACATTTTTGGCATCTGTTTTTTTGGCGCTACAGTACGCTCTCAAGTATCGCAAATATCACATTGCAGAGGATCTGGATAGTCTTGCTGATAATTCTTGTAATGAAAAATTTTTTTTTTCTTTTTATGATGAAATTTCTAATTTAGAGATATTCGCATTGAAAGCCAAATACAGCTGTTTCATGAATAATTTTCTTGCAGCTTGCAGCGATGCTGTACCGGATTCACGGAGAGTGAGAACAATGTCTTCATCAACTCTAATTTCTGAAGTAGTTTCGTTGGTTCGATTACCCATTAGAGGTACTACGAAGCATACGAGATTAGAAGAAACGCCCGCTGATGTTGAAGATGGTTACGAAAGTAATGAAACTCAAGCGGAGTAAGAATTAATTTTACAATTGTAACAATTGAAAAAATTAATATCTATTTTATTATTTATTATTATGTAATAAAATAGATATAAATTATTCACTTTAATTATGTAATAGATGAGAAAAAATAAATTTTTTTTTTCAATAGCGCTGAAGAAGAGCAAAGTACTGAATCGGGCACAAAGAGAAAAAAGGAAGTGGAAGAGAATGGATCGGAAAAAACTCTAGTACCAAGTGCAGGAAGCACACCGATAAGAAGACCATCGACATCGAATTCGTCTTCGGCTTCTGGACAACCAGAGGTCAAGTACGCTCGTCCAGTTAAGTAAGTTCGGCCTGGGCATGTTGCCTGCGATTTTTTTTTTATTAACTATAAAAATATTATTCAAAGCATCACTTTTATTATCCACAAAAAATACATTCGGTTTAAGACACTTAAAACACCTTATTTTTAAAACAGCAATTTTTGATTCTGATATCCTAGAAAATTTTTTTATAGATTAGGATTAATAGAAAATAATCAAAATTTGCTGTTTTATGGAAGATTGTTTATAAAAAAAAAACAATTGATTTCATTAAACAAAAAGAATATTTTTATAGAATTTTAAAAGGTTTTCTTTTAAATTGAATGAATTTTAGATAGAAAAATAGAAATACATTTTTTTTAATTGATAATAACTATTATTGATTATATGATTTATTAAAATTCAGATACAATTTATTTTGAATAAATCTTTTTTAACTTGTGTGCTTATTAATATGACAATGACTAATAATTTAATATTTCGATAACAGCAACCATTGCGATACACTAGTACGTTTTATGTCCTATTTTCTTAAATATCTCGAAACCTTTCAAAAAAAAATTCTTAGATTAGATTGAATGAATCAATGGTGAAACGTGCATCATAAGCATGATTATATCCCTTGATTGATAAAACTTTTAACTTAAATTCCATTATATATGTTATATTACAAGAATCGTTGATAATTGTTGTAGCTTATAGATTTAACATTAACACATTTATTTTTATTTTATTTTTGATAGACTTTATCAGTTTATTATTAATTATTATATAAATATTTCTAAGACAGTAAATATTATTTATATTTAATAATATTTTTTCTATTTCCATGGGCAATTCTTTGAAAGCCTGAAATAAATATAATAATGTTTATAAAACTGCGAATTTTGAGAACACAATTTTTTGCAGTACTTTTCAATTACAGTGCCGATAAAACTAAATCAACTTTCCAATAATGAAAATTGTCATTTGTCACAATTCTCATATTGGTTTGAATTTCAAGATATCAATATGTATATATGTCATAACCAAAATTAACCGTACATTGAACGAGAACGATAATAAACGATAATTCGTTTTAAATGGAAATTATTGCAAATAGTTATTTTGATCAGTTGAAATGAGCTCGACAATATAAATTTATATCAGCTATAAGAATTAATTCATTACTAATAAATTTTAATAATTAGTCATGTAAATAAATAATAAATTAATAATAATAATTTTATCAATTTCTTAATTTATTGATATAAATTCTATTTTTCATTATTTATTTTACTAAAACAGTTTTTAGTAAAAAATAAAATACCTTAAAAATAGTTCAAGCAAAATTTTATCAAGGAAATGCCCATTATTTTGTAATTAATATTTTGACGATGTATTCAAATCACATTTTGCACTCAGTTATTTTTGATGGATTATCTCATTTACATTTATCAAATGCATGTGTATTTTCCTTTAAGAAAATGGTATTTAAAAACCGCTTGTTTGTTAAAAACGTAATTTTTTATTTTATTTCATATTGAATATATAGCATTATAATTGTATAACAGTCTTTATCGTATAATCTTTCTTGAATAGTTAATTAAAATATGTATCTATTCTTGAGTATAGTTTAATAAAAATAATTTAAAATAGGTATATATATTTAAGATAGTGTTTCAATTATTATTGATATTTAATTTTAGCGAAATTCTTTTTATAAAAAATTTTTGTAATTTTGTTTTTGATTTGAAAATTTGCAGGCTTCGTACTGTGGGTCCAATAAGTCCCGTTTCGGAAGAGGCACTCACATCCGAAGACAGCCGACGATACAGTTCAACCAGTGCTTCAACCAGTTTGAATAATGTAAGACCCTCTCACCCAAAACCAACTAACCTACTTCTTCGGACCAAGGTACCCATCCCTCTGCATCACTTTTGCAGCTTCTCAATTACCTGTACACGCTTCAAAGACACTGCACAATAATTCAACAACGAATTTTTGGCACCCGGAAGCACCTTAATGTTTGTGACTTTAAAAAAGAAAAAATACAGTCAAAGACATGTACCATCACTCATTCATTTTTTAACTAGCTTCGTATATTTTAATTTTCAATAATTTTGCTATATTTCTATTTTTAGTTCCTTAAGGAAATATCGAAAAATGTATTTTCTGAATTTTCCATATTCTCAAAATTCGAAAACTCTTACACTCACTGACTTTATACATATTGAAGAAGATTCGAATTATTTTTACTAGAGTAATTTTAATAAAATTTTCCAAAAAGCGTCTCTTAAAATTCGAATCTTCATTTTTCTCACTTTTTTATTATTACTATTTCTTCAATTCAATTAAAATTCGATTGCAATATCTTTTTCGTAATAATTTGAAAATTGTATTTTTTTCCAGAGTTTCTCACCTGCCAGTAGCAGTTGTTCAAACGCCTCGACGTTGCGTTGTGGAAAAGATTCCAAGGAATGTCGAAATCGTGAACGTCTTCTACAAGGTCCAGGTTCTGAATTTAGTCTATCAAATCCGGAGGGTGATTTAGAAATGGATTACTATGATTACAATGTAGTAAATGCTGCAGCAGCTCCTGGATCTTATCTTGGAATGGATCCAGCTTTTTTAGTTTGGATTCCACCTTTGGGTTCGGATGAATCTGATATTTTAGACACTATAGACGAAAATTGTCATCCTGAAGAAATTAATGAATCTAAAGTTGGACTTGACACCGAAGGAGCTTCTTTGACAGCTGATGAATATGAAAAAATTAAAATTTCCAATCAAGATGAAAATGATTTGGAAGATGATGAGATTCTTCCCAGAAGACTCGATCCTGGTGAATGTCGACTTCATGATGAAATAATTACTGAATATAGAGCAAGACTGAGGGAAGGTATGCTTCCAATTCATAGGATTTTGGAGGAATCGAGAATTAGAGTCAGTGAAGAATCTCTCGCTAGTAGGCAAGTTCCTGATGATTGTGGCGAATTATCGGCTGATATTATTCCTAATAGATTACATTCGGATCTAGATTCTCGAGTTGATGTCTCATCAAGTAGAACGGTGAGATTTTTAATTTATAAATTTTTTTTTTACAACTGTTATATTGTTTTCTAAATTGACAAAAAAATTTCAGATGGGAAGAGGACAGAGAAAAAACAATCTAGACACTCCAAAAACTCGAAGAGCGAAAGAAAGAAAAAATATTGATTTGGATCGTGATCAATGTGAAGATAAAGTTGAGAAAAATGAAATATGTAAACCAAAGACTCTAAATATTTCAATGGAATATGGCGATATCGTGCAGTTAAATGTTATCAGTGAAAAGGATAAGATAACAACAGTATTGAGTGGTGATATACCAATGACCGAATTTTCAAGAAATAGACAAGATTCGCCGGTAAAAGTTCACAAGAAAAAGGGCAAAAAAGAATCAACGAGTGAGAAAGACATTCAGAGTCCTGATTATGGTGTTGAAACTGATATTAAAAAAACTTCGCGAGATTCGTTTTATGATCTCATTGGGGAAGGTGAGGATAGTATTAAATTTGCTGATGATGATGAAGAATATATTGATAACAAAGCGACAATTTGAAAACCAAAAATAAGAAACAGAATTTAAATTTTTTTCTTTAAATTAGAGATTAGACTATAAAATTTATAATTTCAAAAAGTCTTAAATCTCTGAAAAAATCGGTAAAAGTACATAAAATGTAAATAATGTATGGTGACTCAAGTAATTTTTATTGTTTACCAAACCTTTCTAAATTATAAAATTTTAATTTATTTCGAAAGTTTCCTGATATTTTATAAAGAAGGAACGTATTTAAAAAATGTCACCATACATTATAGATGTTATCTGTTTAAACAAATCTTAATATTTTTTTATTCATATTAGAATTAGATGGACTTATTGATAATCAGCAATTTATTCTGAAGAAATGGATTAGGTGCAATGTAAGATTTTGTAAAATTTAATATAGCTAATCGTCTAGACTAATCTTGTCGTTAAAAAGATCAAATCAAACTTTATAAAGAAAAAAAAACACGATATAGAGATAGAAATTATTGGAGTTTTTATCGTGGATATTTCTTTTCATATACCTATATATATTATACGCAAACTATATGATTCAAGACTGCTTCGCTAATTTTGTGCGCTTGTTACATTTTTAATGCGAATATTAAGTACAATTCACAAAACGCCAATTTTCTATATAATTATACAGTAAATTTATTTATCAATGTGCCAATTATTTATTTATTTAAAGATTTTTGTTTCTATTAATACATTATTATGTTAATTAATTAATATTGTACAGAATATTTAAAAAATTTAAGACTAATTTTCCTCAGGCATTAATATTTATTAATTATATTATTTTAATAATTATTATGTGATGCAAAAGTATATTTAATGTAAAATAGATTTTCAAATTTGTAGGAAAATTCTTTTAATAATGTTTTAATGTGGAAAATTGACTGATATACGATTTAGTAAAAAAAAAACAGGGTTTCTTTATATTTTGAAAATTTTAGGAATTTAATTTTTAAAAAAATATTATATTAGCGAGCTACAAAATTTTTTTAGCTAACTTAATTGGATAATGAGTGTACCAAAAGTGAAGGGTGTAAAATTTTTGTACAGTACCTTAAAAGAGAAAAAAATTAGATAAAATAGAATATTTGATTTTTGAATAAACCGAATTTTTTACTCTTATAGGATATTTAAGAAACAAATAAAAATTATTAATGTACCATTTGTGCTCCATTGTTAGCTCAATATAAATAATTTAAATGGTGTTTTAAATTTAAGTAGATTTTCAAATTAAAATTTTACTTAAACTTTCAAATTCCAATTGTGTTTTAATCTGAAAAAAATAATTTTTTTAATTCATTTCAGTTTTTAAATGATTTTGAAATTGGTGTGAGAAACAATTTTTGAAAATGGCAGAGCTCAAAAATTTAGAATTTCAAAGAGAAATTAATGAGAGAGTTAATTTATGAAAAATAACAAATGTTTTTGAGGTATAATGGAAATTTGTAGATTACTATAAAACGAAAGTGATTAGTACTGCCGAGCACATGACGTTTAAGTCTGAAAAAAGATAATTGTAAAAAATATTTAAATGTCTTTGACTTGAGTGTAAGGAACTTCTTTTATTTAGATATCACGAAAAAATATTTTTTCACTGTCTTATTGTCATGCACATTAGCACTACGTTAAAAATATGTTAACATGTAAATTTATTGGATGCTTATTTAAATTATTTATGCCTAAATTAATTATTTGCCTATTGTTTTTTTAAGAATTTGTTTTTTATGATTTTTTATGATTTTTTTCGATTGTTATTTATTGTATTATTTCAATAGTTTTTTTTATTTATTTTACTACTTTAATTGTCATTTATTTGTTTATTTTTTATCGTTATTTACGTTTTTTATTATTTAATTATATAATTTCGTCGAATATTTTTTTTATTTGTCGCATACGAAAATCATAAAATATTAAGCATGAATTTCCACTTCATCGCGTATAAAATCTAATGTTCTCTTAAAAATTGCCTGTCACGTAATAATATTTAAAAACTATATTGTACATAATAAATTAATATCTAAGATTTTTTTTTTATTTTTTCCGTCGTATTTAAAATACGTTATTTATAGCTATTAAATTATTGTAAAAACGAATAGAACTTAGTAAAATTAAGTTTAATTTTCTGTAAACGTCACTGTTTACAGTTTGTGATAACCAATTAGTATTTTCTAATTTATTTATTTATTTATTGCTTAGTATTATTATATTAATAATCTGCGAAAAAAATGAATGGGATTATTTGAGGCCTCGATAAAAGAAAATAAATTGAACAATCGAATATTTGATGTGAAATTTCGGTTTGAGAGCGATATTTCTATAGAATAGGAAAATTATTTGTAAAACACATTAGAAAAACAGGGACCTATTTAACTGTTCATCGTCTATCTGAAAATCTATTAAAATCTATATATTATATATATTTTTAAAAAACGATAGTTGCGAACCTCTTGTACTGTTCCTGAAAAAAAAATGTTTCGACGTATCATATATATATATATAATATAAAATTTCGACATTGTTTCGAAGTTAAAAAGAAAAAATATCATATATTGAATGAAACAAAATGTAATTAACAATCCCACAAAATGATGACATAAAATAGAAACACCTTTTTTCTTCACATTGTCGTTTTTATTTTTAGAGAAAACCAAATATTCAACAAAAATCTTTATAAAATAAAATTTATATAATTAAGTGCGCAAAAATTTCATAATCACAAACCACTTTGAGCCAAATGAGTGAATTTCCACTCTCACACTCGTGTATTTTCTCTCTCGCTATTTCTTTCTTTCTAAAGTCGGAAATTAATTTAAAAATCATCGAGTAAAAAATAGTTACGACAAAATTATTTTGAAAGACAATAGGTATTCTTTCTTTAGAAACCGTACATTTTTTACTTGATTAGATTCTATACAATTTAATTTGTACAATTTAATTTTATATAATTCAATAGAATTTAATTATACAATTCAGTGCAATTTAATTGTAATTCAATACAATTTAATTAAAGAGTAATGAATAATATAAAAGTTACCTTTGTCAGGACAAAGAAAACTTTAATATATACTAACTTCTATACTAAAAAATGTATTTTATAATAGTCTTAATTATTTCACTTAATTCAGTGTAAATAACATTAAAAAATATACATTATCTCACACGCGAAAAATTAAAATCCTTATAACAAAATATAAATTCCTTTTGGTCAGGATTTTATTCTTAGGGAAATTATTTATATTTGAAAATATCCAGCGGAGGGAATAATTTATTAAAAATTATACTAAATTATTTTTTTCTCTAATACTAATAAAGTTTACTTTCTTTAGGATCCAGGTACTTATAAGCAATTAAGTTTTACGAAATTTTTACAAGCTAACTAAGCTACAAAATGAGTTTAAAAAAAAAAACAGAAAAAAAATTCTTTAACTAGTTTCTAAAAATTAATCTTCAATGAACAATAAAACATAAAATTCTAATGAAATATAAAAATATGCAAATTTTAAAATAAAATTAATATAATTAATATAGAATTCCCCAAAGTGGCTTTTTCATTCTATTGAATTAAATCTATTTTTTTAATAATAGGCTTAAGCATTACGTTCATGGAGATATTAACATTTGGCACAAATTAGCCGTAATTATTAATATTTGTATAAACGATACTTTTGGCCAATTATCTATAGCTAAAACGTCTTATTTAGTAAAGGACAATTAGTTGATTGTCCTTTTTTAAAATGGAAATCTACGAATGGATATTTTGTCGATTTTACTATTATGTCAACTATGTAAATCAGAGTATAGATGAAAATATCTACAAATGGAAGTTTTATATGGAAGTATTTAAAAATCTTTTAATGATCATATGAATTATTATTATTATTTTTCATTTTGATGATTGAAGTATATATTCTAATTCTAAGAATAAATAATATTTATATATATTCATCTATAAGCTCTGCTTGATTTCATATTTTGTTAATAATACATCTAACTTTTTTTTCTTGTGTATTTGATATAGGAATCAACCTACATATTAACATAAACACCAAGACGTACACAATAATTTTGATTATTTTGATGATTGTTTTACAATCATTGTGAATTTATTATCTACACTGGTCTAAATTATTTATTCTTCTCCACAAAATTTTATATGACATAATTTTGAAGAAAAGAATAATTTTACATATATTCGTGTTTACTGATTCTTATTTTTTATATACTTTAGAATGCCATCATATAGGCGAGATAATCTTACAAATGGATATATCTCAGAAATATTTCAATTTGTGTTTATTTATTAATAAAAACTAAATAAATAAATTTCAATTATTATTTTTTGGAAGATATATTTTTTGTACGATTGATTTTTTAATATATATAATTTATTGTCCAGAGTAAAAAGTATTTTGAATATTCAATTATTTTGCAATAAGTGATTAATAATTTTATATCATCACAGTGAGAATATTTTATGTGCAAATTTTCAATTAACTACCGACGATAATGAGTAATGTTTATAATAATAAATTATTGTTGAAAAAATATAAAAATAGAATGTTGATTAAAAAAATCTATTCTTGATTAAAACATTTTTCATAAAATTTCTAGAAAATAAGTATAAAAAAATGACTACCTATAAGAGAACGAGATAACTTAAAAAATTGATACAGATTTTTTTTCAATATTGAGGTAAATATTTCTGAGATAGATCCAAATGTTAGCAAATTAGGAAATGTGTGTATATGAATGAAATTGTTATAATAATACGAAGTTCAGTCTTCCAAGGTGTGCGAATAGGCCTAAATTACCAATCAAACGTGTGTTTTTCTTAATATATATATATATGAGTTTGAAAATGAATATGAAGATATCGATGAAATAAGTTTAGGCATTATTATCGATTACTTCATAAATGGTTCATTGTCTTCACTGGTGCTTTATTTACAATTAAATAAAATTAAGTTATTCAAATTAATTAATAAGTCATTGAAATAAGATTTGAAACATTTTTGCATTTTTTTAAAATTAATACCTTAATAAAGGAAATTAAAAAATTATTTTATTAAAACACGTACGCGATTCGCTTTTCTTTTTCATTCACCAGTGAAAACGATTTTTTTTTCGATTATACAAAAACGTATTCTTATTATAATAGTAATTATTATATTATTACCATATGCGTTGAAGCGCATTATCATCAAGATGCACTAATAATGGCATTCTCGTTATTCACATTTGAATTGGATGGAGTTCTTCCAGATCTTGATGGAACTTTTAAATTTGCTTGGCTCCCGTAAAAGGATGTAAATGCAGTGTCGGAACTCACACTTAATGGTAAACTAGTAGCATCCATTATTTCTCCCTCACTTCCTATTGTTGATGTTCGTATATCGAAAGTTCCGCTCATTCCAGACATTCCTGAACTGGTTGCCATTTCCAAATCATGAGATATGTGTCTTAAAATAAAATCACTTTAATTCATTGTTAGTTAATGACTGTTCTTGTATTTGAAAAAAGGATTTTTATTTAATAATTATATTTATAATATTAATAATTATATTAATAATTATATTTATAATGAAACTAATAAAATATTAAATAAAAATATAGTAAATAAATAAAAAAAACGTACCTATAATCTGGAGCAGGTGGAGGTTCTGGGCGTTGTCTTTGTGAACTTGTCGACATTGGGGTTCGTTTTATCGCATAAATATAGACGCCCATCATGGTAAGCATATAAGACAGGAAGTACAGAGTGTGGAACTAAAAAAAATTTTAATTGCAATAAAAATAATTTTTCATAAAAATTTAATGAAAAAACTTACTTTGTAGCGATGAATGAGTATGCCGAATAAAACGTTAAAGAAGTCGGCCGTTAATAATGACAATTGCAAGGCCGTTGCTCCAGATTCGTATAGAATGACTGGAATGAGAGAATAGAAAACAAATTGTGTGATGGAATAAACAACCAAATATGTCACTGTTAATACATCGTCCCAACGAAAGGTTTCGAGTTGTAATCGCTCTAAAACTCCACTGCAACATTTTTTAAAAAAATATTTTATTTATTATTAAAAATAGAAAAACAAATCAATTTCAAAAATTAGAATTACTTGATTTACTAATAGTCAACTTAAATAATTTTTTTTTTTTTAATAAAGCCACAATTTATTTGAATCACGATTATATAATATTCTACTTACACTTGAGTACAACTGAGAATTGTGCCAAAGAATCCGATCATTCCTAGGTACTCAATTATATCGACAGTTTTGACAGCCAATTCTTGCAAAACCGTAATAACAGAAAATAATACAGCACCCCCGAGGCATAGCATGTCACCAACTAATTGATTTTTTCCTAGACGGGGAGAAAAAAAAAATATATAGATTCATGTCATCGATAATTAAAACATAAAATTTTTGATATTTTCAGGACAGTTTAAAATAAATAGAACAGTCTGACTGAATATGGTTTTTACTACTGGAAACCATTGACGTTGCTTTAAATCATATAAAAAATTAATTTTTGTTTATTTTTACCTAATTGTTTTGTTACTACAAGTATTAATTTGACTTTTCTACTTTAAATCAACGTTCAACGATTTTGAATCTCTTTAATTAATTAATCTATTATGGATTACCTGTTGACGCAGGATCTTTCTCCTCATCAATTCCAGCCCAGACTAGACATCCTACACCCATTAGACAAATTGAAACTCCCACTATATGGACCATTCTGTATCTCACGCCAAGTACTAGACATGAAAGTGCCAGTGCTACTGGAATCGCCACACAGTCCAGCAACTGAAAACAATTATTATTTTATTTCCAATTTTTCAAAAGCTTTTTATTTAATTTTAATTTCAATTTTTTATTTTCAAAATTTTATTTTCAAAATTTTTTTTTCAATTTATTCCTAATTAAAAAATAGATTTACAATATTTTTAAAAATTTAATATTTAAAATAGTTTTAAAATCTTGTTTATGAGTATTTAATTTTTTTTTAATTTTTGATTTACCTGTATACTGGCTAAACTAGTGAAACGATGTGAGGACGTAATTAGAGTATTAGCTTCAACATCTATTAGAGCCAAAAGCAAGTATCGCCAACCCCTTGCCCTTAATACGGAAATTAGGCCGTGTCCTGCACCCCTACAGGATAACCATGTTGTGTAGACGAGACACATCATTACATAATGCGGGACATTTTGTGCTGAAAGCAAAATTGATAATTATCAAATTTGGTTTTTTTTTTCTAAAAAATAGAATATATTTTTCTTTCAAGGGTTAAAAATGTGTATTTTTCTACCTAGAGTAAAAAAAAATGTATTTTACACCTTTGCATAAAAATAGTGCATTTTTCTACCTATATTTATATGGTTTCTCAATTTACCTGTGGGAAGGGACACGTGCTCAGATGTGTTCATTTGATGATTGAAAAGCGTCATAAAACAGAGCACCACCGATAGAAATTGGCCCATTATTATCGCCTTCCATACTGCCCTGAAATTCAAAATTCGTAAAATTAATATATATTTTCTTTTTTTGAAACAAAAATTTTTTACAGAAAAAAATTTTTTTTTGTCTAATCCAAAAATTGAGTATACTTCTGAAAATTCATTATACTTCACAAACTTTTTCGTCTATTTTTACAAAATTATTTACTTTTATCAATTACAAAATTTTGTTTATCTTTTTCTTTCAGACATTTTCTATAATAAATCTTCAAGACGTGTCTGACCATATCTGGACTCTACTACTGAATTCACTAACTGAATTTTGAAAATAAAAAAATTACATCACAATTCCAATTGTTTTTCTTTATTATATGTAAAATTTATAAAATAAGTAATGAAAAATTCAATATTTCTGCAAAATTATAAAAAAAGCAATCAGAAAAATTTATTAAAAATGCATCATTGAATTTGCAAAAGCAATTTGTGATATCCATGGGTATGGTAGACACCTATTGAATAAATAAACACTTTAAGAATTCCAAGCACGGTTGCATAAATTATTCATTCAAGCATAAATCTGTTGTAAATTTCAAAAACTTTTACGTAATTTAATATTGATTTCAAAAAAATCCAAATTTTCAACACTCTAAGAGAATATAGTACTTGGAAAATTAAATTTTGTAAAATAAATTATTTCCAAAAAAGTTTACAATAGTCAAATTTAAAAAATACATACAACCATGCGTCTATTTTAATTAGGCAAAATATATAAAAATATTTGTATTTTTTATTAAATTTTTTGAGTGATGTAATGAATTTAAATAAATTATCACAAAAAACGTAATGAAAAAAAAAATTAAATTAATTTTCTGTATTTTTTAGGATGTGATTTACACTAAATTATAAACACGCCATTGTTTTTTCCCAACCCCTGATCACAGACAACTTTAACAACCACTACCACACATCAAATATCATTCACCGTCACTGCCCTTAAAACACGGAAGAGCATCGACCTTGAGAGGATTTCTAATTTTATATAATGAGAAAATAAAATCGTTAGTTGTAAAAAAAAATAATTTTTTTTACATACCACTGTCTCAGCTCGGATATGTAATTTTCAATTTTGTCGCAAATCCCATTTCTGGGTTGCATTGTGCGATTTTCATAGCCAAAGCGAACTCCCGATAACATTCCACTGCCATCGTGCATTTTCACCCTGGCACAACAAGAACGTAGAAAGATCCTGAATAGCGCTTGCGCGACCTCCTGCAAATTCACTTCACTTACTCGCCCCAAAAACCCTCTCGTTTTTTCCGGATTCAACCCCAACAAGGGAAGATTCAATTTTACCTTTATTTCCGCGTATTTTCAAAATTTTAACAAAAATTTTAAATTTTTTTCCAAAAAATTGAAAACCTACATTTTGGTTTGAAATGTTAATTTTCTTTTAATTTTTTATTGATTAAAATTTTAAATGAAATTAGAAAAGTTATTAATTTAAAAAAATTGAAATTAATAATAAAATTCAATTTTTCTTATTAATTACTAAATTTTTAAAAATATAATTTCCTTGATACCCAAGATTCTATAGCTCATTTTGAAAAAAAAAATTATGTTCTCTTCCGCATCACCCAAGAGGTGGAACATTAGACGCGTTCTTTAACGTGCTTCCCCATTGCACAGTTTGTTCAATTAAAAATTCAAATAAATTTTTTTCAATCTGTAATTGAGGTCAAAATGTGCATTAGGCCTAACCACGCCACAGAACAAAATATATTACCGCAATAGTTGAAATATTTTCAATATTGCCGAAATATTTTTGTACTGTGGGAGACCTGAAAGAAAAACAAATTTATTAGTAAAACCTGAAAAGAAAAAAATCCATTATTAGTAAAACCTGAAACAGAAAAAACATATATTATTAAAACCTGAAACAGAAAAAACATTCATTATTATTAAAACCTGAAACAGAAAAAACATTCATTATTAGTAAAACCTGAAACAGAAAAAACATTTATTATTAAAACCTGAAACAGAAAAAACATTTATTATTAAAACCTGAAACAGAAAAAAACATTTATTATTAAAACCTGAAAGAGAAAAAACATTCATTAGTAAAACCTGAAAGAGAAAAAACATTCATTAGTAAAACCTGAAAAGAAAAAAATTCATTATTAGTAAAACCTGAAACAAAAAAACATATATTATTAGTAAACCTGAAACAGAAAAAACATAGTAAAAACATATATTATTAGTAAACCTGAAACAGAAAAAACATAGAAAAAACATATATTATTAGTAAACCTGAAACAAAAAAACATATATTATTAAAACCTGAAACAGAAAAAATATATATTATTAGTAATAATACCGAATTTTCAGCTTCATGGAGATTCTTTCAAACTAAATAACCCTCGGAGATCCCTATTTTCAAGTTAAATTTCCATTCAAAAAATGAGAAAAGTAACTGTAAAAATAGACCGAGTTCTAAAAAATTTGAAAGAATTTTGTGCACTTCAAAAATAAGATACCCTTTTTTACTTTCGCCCTTATCATTGAAGTACGAACTCCACAAACCCAACGAGGAGTACGACAAAAAAATTCAAAATCCCTAAAAATATTACTCGATCGCGGGTTTAAAAAAAATACGAAACACTCCCGAAAGCTAAAACACTGATTTTAAAGAATTAAAAAAGTTAATTTAATAATTTTTACAAACACGTGGTCATCAAAAAATCAAAATGCCCGATGATAACTTGCGAATTTGAACTGTTCTGTGTGACCGACGCTAAAGAAATGATCCCACCCCATGAAATTGATGAAGCACAAAGTGAATTTCAAACCACGTGATAGTACAAAATTTAGACGCGCGAGGATAATTTTGAATTTTGCACCAATCACGTTTAAGGAATAGCGGGGATGTGAAAATGCAAAACTGAGAGGGTAGAAACGCGTCACTTGTTTTCTCTCTCACTTTTATTTATTTTATATTAAATATTATAATATTTATCTCTAAATATACAAAGTATGCAACAAAAAAATATTAATTTTTTTAATTACAATGTATATAAACATAATATCAAAATATAATAATCAAAAATATAATTTTTTAAGAAAAAATCATCCCCAATTAAACGCGACCACGTGACTAATTTGGCGCAATTTGATTTTAATGAACATTAAATTTAACACATTTAAACTTTTTTTACTGTAATAAAAATTAATTTAATATAATAAAAAATACTGTAAATAAAATTTTATAATTTTTATAAAAACATTTTATTAAATTTTTTTTCAATTTATTTTATTCATTTTTAAAATAATACGAGACTGATAGGAGGTAGAAACGAGGCTTTTGTTTTCTCTCTCCCTCGTATGTATCTTATATGTAATTTTATATAAAAAAAATATAATATTTGTTTTTTAATATACAAATTATGAAACAAAAAATATTAATTTTTTTAATTACTATTTATATAAACATAATATTACAATATAATAATCGAAAATAAACATTTTCAAAAAAACAAAATTTATCCCCACCATTTTGAATTAAATAAGAGTGACAAAGATAGGAGAGACGCACACCTAAATTTCGCGCGACCACGTGATTAATTTGGCGCAATTTGATTTTAATTTATTTTAAATATGACGCATTAAAACTTTTACTGCAATAAAAATTAATATAATACAATAAAAATACAGCAAAGAAAATTTAATAATTTTCATGAAATTTTCTTAAACAAAATTTTTAAAAAATTTTTTATAAATAAAAAAATTATAGGAAAGAAGAAAAAGACAATTTTTTGGTACCCATTTCAGGTTGTCTTGACCTGCGATTTTATTTACAATACATTCACAGTAATTTCGTTCACCGATAGGGCTGTAAAATCACACGTAATGCAATGTTGACAGATTTTTTTTCGAGTAATATACATATGTATATGTGTACATATATACAATACAGGATGTACCAGCAAAAAAGCGAGTTAATTTTTAAATGAAAAATGCATTATTATTGAAGAGTACAAAGTAAAAAAAAATTTCTTCCATCATAAAATCGAATTTAAAAATAAAATTGTTTTTTAGTTACTATTATTATTATACATATATTTTTTTTTTGAATGAAAAATGTGTAAATCTGACAAACAGAAAAATGTGTGTGTGAAAATAAATAAGAATTTATAAAAACACTTAAAAAGCTTTTCGCCGATTAGCCCTGTATACAAACATACTTCAATCATCCTAATTGTTAAAAATTATATATATATATATTATATTAATTTTCTAATAATTCCCTAATAGATGAAAAGCAGTTCAGAAAAATTTGTGCGATTTATTTCTTATATCTCCCCTTCCACTGGCTTCCTGTATTCTAATTTTCCGGATAAAATCTATAACTTTCTAAACTAATTATTTATTAATTTTTTTTATGTAAAATTCTATTAAGGAAGCTTCCATAAAAAGGTGGAAAAATATGCGAGTATTAAGAAAAATTAGATGCAAATTTGTTTTTCTCGTCAAGATGATTTCTTTTAAAATCGAAGTATTTGTTTTGATAAGATTGCTTCTTTAAAATACTTTTTGATGTTTTCGATATTAGTGCCACATTTCGCGATTTATGGAGCTTTTTGTCATGAAAAATATTAATGATGAATTTTCTTAGAGAAGTTTTTCACTATTCTTTTGAATTTTCTATAATATTTAAATCGTTTTTTCTCCTCCATAGTAAAAAGAAAGAATTTTGTGACTGGTTTCTCCAAAATTCATTTTTCTTTCACTTATAATTAGTTTTTTTTTTAATGATGAGAAGAAAAAGGACGAAATTCTGAGCGATTCGAAGGATTAAGTTTCGCATACGTGCAAACGTGTTATAAAATGTAATAAAAAATTTGATTATTTCTTCTTCGCTTCTTCTTCGACGGCGTCATTCTGTTTTCTGAAACAGTCTCCAACTGGGAAGAAGTCCCAACTTCTTTGTTGGTACAAATTCCATACATAAGTTTCCTGACCAGTGTATTCGGTATCAGGTTTGTTGATTAAGTGCATCAAAAAGAACCTAAAAAATTATTTCAATTTTAAAAAACTATTTTGCAGAAAAAACTTATTAATACCACAGTTGTATTTACATGTAATTGGCAAGATTATGTTCCTGTTGAACGTGTGTATCAAATCCATGAGGAACGGTATCAAAATATTCTTTTCCTAAGCCACAAATGAAACAATTACTTTCCATGTTGGCTTTCACACTTTCGAGTTGGTCTCGAAGTTCTCCAAAGGCATCGATGATCAAACCTAAAAAATGAAAGAATTTAATAAAAAATTCTCTAAATTATGAAAAGCAAAAAAAATGTTCAGATTTTTCACCTTGGATAATAGCGAGTAAAATAATAATGACAAAGAAGAAGAAAGTAATGTCGAACATGATTCGATAAACTTCGTAATCATCGCCATCAGGTTCTCCAATTTCATCACCGATACCACCTCCTGCTCTTACTCCTTTATAGAGATGGAAGACGAAGCACTGAAAATTTTTTATTTAAATTAAATATTTAATTTTAAATCACTTTATATTGGGTAACATGAAACTCACAGTCAACATGTCATGACACTTTTTGTCCACCTCGTCATCCTCCTCTTGAATATAAAACTTCCGGAAGAAATTGAATGCTATTACTGTATAAATGTACACGATAATTGTTAATAACAATACTGTCAATACTAATTGCTTGCCATTATGTGTTACAGATTGTAAAATAGTTCTTAGTGTCTTAAATCCAACTGCAACATCTAAGAGATGAGCAGCAAAGAAGAAATTATTGTAATTTCCCAATATCGAGAAAGTAAAGTACCATAAACTGTACAAGAAGGCATTGTCTGTTATTGTTACTCCAGCTTTCCAGATTTGATACCTCCAGTCAATAGTGACAATACTGAAAAAAAAAAATTTTTTGTTACATATTTTCTATCATTTATTATTATTAATATTATTATTTTTTATCTTTTTACAAGTGTATTAATCCGGATCCATCTTCCTCTTGTTGACTAAAGGAAGTTTTCTCCATCCCCAATAAATTGCTAATGTGATCAAAATCATAGGCTTCACTGTATTTTTGTCTAACTTTCTTTTTGACAAATTTGTCCCAATAATTGACAGGGAAAGTTTTCGCTGATATGACCATTTTATCCCAATGAGCTTTAATATCATCATCTTCTGGTGTTTCGGCAATGTAAAGACCATCAAATTCAACTCTTCTTGCTATTTCTTTTTCCCTTTTGAAAATTGCCAATGGTACCTGAAAATTTTCAATTTTTATTCGATTTTGCAATTTATATTTTTAAAAATATTTCAATTCTTTGAAATTCAAAAATATTATTTTAAAAATGTGTAATTATCACCTTAAGATGATAGTAGGCAACCAACATTGCCAATGAAACGATAGAATGAAGAGCAGCCATTAATCTCATAACGTGTGCCATATAATAAACATCTTCGGATACTTCAACATATTCTATAACATCTGCCTCTTCTGATGAACCATCTTCTCCACCGCTACCTGAATCAACGCCACTTCCCTCACCTACACCCGATCCAGAACCTGAGATTTCACTCAATAAATCAGCCATCGTATCGTTTGTTTCTTCCTCATCGGAAACCAGTGAAGTAACCTTTTAAAAAATTCCAAAAATTATCATCAAATTGAAAAATAATCATAGGATAAAAGTTCCTTTAAATACTTACTTTGTAAAATAGGAGCATGAAATTTATACAAAATGCAAGAACTAAAGCAACATATTTAAGATTATAGAAATTCCTCGCAAGAAAAGAAACAATTCGATGAGTGTATTGGGAAATATCGAAACTGGAAGCAGATACACGTTCGGAAGTTGTTTCCTGTTTTGTTTCAGCTTCAACTGCAGCCATAGCTGCCTGTTGTGCTGCCGCTGCTTCAGCTGCTGCGGCTGCTTGAGCTCTTGCTTGTTCTCCACTGCAAAATAAAATAAATTAGTTCTAGAATAATTATATTTATTTATTTTGAAATAAATTATTATAAAATTAATTTTCCACTAAAAATTAGTCGATTATACGAACCCTAGCAAATCAGCTAAAGTGACAGGCGATTCTGTTTCTACCCCATCACCCAGGGCCCTTTGACCTTCTTCTCCACCTGCACCTTCATCAGCTGTACTCTCTCCAGTCTCCTCCATACTCGAATGTGGCGTCGAAACATTCGATTCATGAGGAGCTATTTTCAATTGACCACCTTCTTCCTTCGTTATGTCCATTCCAAATGCTTGTACCTGGTGACAATCAAACATTAAAATTTACTTTCCAAACAATTCATTTGGAATGTCTCTAAATTTTTTTTTCCAAAAGTTTAATTCAATTAACAAATATTTTTATTTTGGTAAGAGAAATTAACCTGCATGTTGGATTCATCAGGCGTTGGAGGCAATGCTGGCAAATGCCTCAATGGTTTTTCCTCCTCCTCCTTGACTTCAACAACAGGCTCCACATGAGGACCTCTCATTAAAGTCAATAAAAGTTTCATAAAGTACTGAATAACTACACCAACACCAAAACCGGAATAATAAAAAGCGTAAAAGATCATTTTGAAGAAGCCTATGAATAATTCAGGAATGGTCATCTGTTGCATTTCAGAAATTTTATTCTTGATATTAGTTGGCGAGAACATAGAGAAGAAAAAATATATTCCATCTTTAAACGCTTGTATACCACGTCTAATTGGATCTTTATTTCTCTCGTCATCATCATCGGTCATATAGGTATATGATGATTCTCTAGCCTTTCCAATTCCACCACTTTCTTCGACTGCCATTAAAGCGCTTGCATGTTGCATTTCAAATATAGCATCCTCACAGAAATCAATGAACGTCTCCAATTTCTCTTTATCGCCAGCCTCAACGACAGTATTGTAAAAGTAACTACGTTTTGATTCCTTAATCTGTGGCTTCTCCCACTGCTCAATATTTGATTCCTTAATCTCAAAATAGACCCTCTCGATCTTTTTATTACTTCCAAGAATTTCTATACGGCCAAGGAATGGCTCGAAATAATTAAGAACAGAACCGGCTGTTTCGAGGAATCTCGCTAACCTGGGTTCATTTGGCATATGCTCCGAAAGATTTGTTAAAAGTACTGCCAGATTAAAACCAATCTCCTTAGCTGGCTCGTGAAAACGATCCATGAATGCGACATAGTCGATTTTTCCATCGTGATTCGTTTCACAGCAGGCGAGAAGAAATTCAATTTCCTCGCTGAAAAATTAAATTCCAAAATTAAATTATTCAAAAACAAAAATGCTGAATAAAAAAATAATCTTACTCAGTGTAACTCTTTTGCTGCTCCATTTTTTCTTTGAAATCTTTAGGATAAACCCATCCATCACTGTTTAAATCCACTTCTAAGAAACTGGGTGAAGAAACAAGATCTTTCAGTTTCAGGAACATATCAAAATATTTGAGAATAAGTTCAACATTGCTGGCAGATTCCACTAAAGTATCGACCATCTGCTTTCCAATCGTTCCGTTTACAACATTACCTAAAAAAATGTTTACGTGTAAAAATAAAAACAATACAAAATAGAAATAATAAAGAAAAAATTTTCTACCTTCCAACATGGACAGCATCATTGTGATCATATCTTTCTGAAGATTAAGCAACTCCTTCAATAAATCCACTTGGCTCGAGTGTTTCGATAATTTATCCTGCATATGTGAGAATAAAAATAAAAATCCACCCACAGCATCCCACAATCTCGAATGAGCAAGTGCTTGTTGATTTTGTGCACAAGGTCCCTGAATTACTTCCGTAAGTGTATTAAAAACTTGACTCGCAACTCCAATAGCTTTGAAAAAATTTGCTTTACCCGCAGGATCAATCAATTCTCTACTCGAATAATGCCAATAAAAGTCCATAATTGATTCTTGTAATCGTAATAAATAATCGACGGTACAAATTACAACATTTACCGTTGTCGTATTACCCGCTTGAGTTCTTAAATAATTCTGCCAGTCTAAAAGAGAAAAAAAATTTATTCCCATTGGAGGCAAAAATCATCGATAAAATTATCATCACAGCAATAACTCACCAAGATTGTGACCCTCACAGGTCAATTGAATAAATCTGAATAATGCACAAGTAAATTCAGCATCGTGCATATTTTTTTCACCAGCAGCTCCATCTGATCCAACACCAAGACCTTCTGCCTTGGTATTTCTCTCAAAAGCATCTAAATCCAAAACACTGCACGAATTCATTAATCCCGCAATTGATGTGAAGAAACCAACGTCTTTTTTTTCCTTCAGATGATTCAACATTCCTTTTTGAATTTCAATGTTACCACCACGAAGAATAGAGATTCCCAATTCGAGAGTTTTCATCACCATCTCACTAGGAACACCTTTGCAAGCTGATATGTGAAGAAGAACCATTTCCGCAACTCCGCGATTTGCAAGTCGCGCTTGATGAAATAATAATTTTTGTTTTTCCATTTCTTGTTCCTGTGGGGAATATATATTTCAATTTTATAAATTTGAATTAAATTTAAAATTAATTTTCAGTAATTTAAGTGCAAATTAATTTTAGCGATTTAAATGTAAAAATGAGCGATTTTAATGAAAATTGACAACTAGAACAGAATTTAACAATCAAATCTAGAATTTAATTTAATAAAAAAAAAATAAATCAATTGATTCGAATATTATCTTACCATTAATTTATGCATTGGCCTCTTTAAGAACGCAAAAAAGGAAATTAAGCATTAGTTTTATAAAAAAAAAAATAGGCGGCATTAAACTTGTCAAGTTTCTTATTTTCAGAGTTTTTTTAATTTTGAATCTAAATTACAAAGCAGAGTTGGCAGTTTGATATTTCTTTTTTAAGAAGAAAAGAAGAAATTCTAAAAAAAATTATCTTCAATGAAAAATTTTTAAATATAATACCAATGCAAAAAAAATTTATGGACGAAAATTTCTAAGAATCTCAAACAACTAATTGATTGAAAAATTCTCATATGATGATATTCTAGCAAAATAGAAGCTTACAGAGTGTGCACGTTCTAGATTTTTTTTTTTTGTTAGTTATTCTTACCATTCTTGATAAACGTGCCTTCTTCGAAAGAGCGAGTTAGAAAAATTTTAAATTATCTTTTAAAATAAATAATTTAGTAAATTAGATTTATTTCTAAATTTTAGTAATAAAAATTGGATGTAAAGAATTATTTTAAAAAAATATGATAATTACATGAATTGAAGCACGTCCTTCTTCTTCGCCACCACCTTCACCTTCTTCTTCTTCCTCTTCTTCGCCACAGGATTTCGATATAATTTGCGCGTAACTCATATAAAGAGGATCTTCCTGAAGTGCTCCAGATCTTTCAGTCATTGCTCCTCGACAGAATGTTGTCACTAATTGTGTCAGTGGATCCGGTTTACCTTCATCTTCTTTACCATCCGTTTTGTTCAATTCTGCATCTTCGAACGATTGCTAAAACATTTTTTTATTATTTTATTTTTATTCTTCTTCTTTTAAAACATAAATTTTTTATATTCTTACCGTAAGATCTTCAATCATAACTTCCTGGCCAACATTTTCATCCTGAAGCCATAATTCATAATATGTTCGGGCAAAAATATTTATAGCCCGATGCCTGAAATTTAATTTCTCTTTTCAAAATAAAACATTAAATTCTATCTTACAGTATACTCATTAACAAGCTGAAGCGTCTACATTTTATTATTTTATACTCTTGAAGATTTGAATTCATTACGATTTTGTTGCTAATCAAGAATATTTTTGAATATATTTTTTTCAAATCTTCAAGGTTGACTAGAGGACGCTAATGGCAAGGATTTTTGGAAGTACCTTCTTAGCTTGTAGAGGAGTTCACTACGTAGGCATGCAATGGCCGCTCTCTTTCTGGCTGCACACAGCACACGATTCCATCCACCTCGGGATGGTGGCGGTTTTGTCGCCTGTTAGCAGCATGCACACACGACTAAATTCGTTAGAATCGTTCACGAAAAGCATATTAAAAAAAATTTAAATAAATTTCGTTATACCAATTTCAGTGAATTATATTTTTATAATAATATGAATGATTTTTGAAAAAAAAAAATTTGTTTGGAAATTTTTTTAATAAATCTTCATTTTTTCATTTCTAACTCACATTCGTTTCCAAGGTTTAATAAAACTGATATTCTCTTTTCTAAATTATACATTATCAGTTTTATACTGCATATGAAGCTTCTTCTACATATAAGTCATATATAAAAGGAGCATTTCGAAGCTTCTACTTCAATGATAGCAAAACTAAAAACACTGCCAAAAAAATGATAAAACCGAACACACAAAAGCAATCTGATACCTGGGCAGGGAGTGAAGGGAGATCTGACGAAAACAAGCAATGACGGCTCGCTTTCTCTGAATTGAAACCACTGATCGATATTGACTTTTGCTTTGCTGTTGCGGATGGTCGATCTACGCGAAGATAACGGAAAAACAAAGAAAGAAGAAAAATAAAATCATAATTGAAATTATAAATAAAAGTTGACTTTAATAAAAGAAAGAAACTATTTCCCTAAAGATCAGATTTTTTTGCTTGATGTTACAGCTTCCATATCTGCGTATAGAAATGTTTTATAAAAACATGCAAACACTGTGTAATCACTCACCATATGCAAGCCATAAAGAACTTTCGCCATATCTGTTATTCTAGCAACAACATCGTCGATTTGTTGAGCTTTCACTGGTTCCATAACATCCTTTTTTTGACCAAGTTGTGAATATAAATAATGCTGCCAAGACATTTCATCAGCTGGATCAATTTTATCCGGTAGGGTCAATTGAGTTTTTGCAAATTCCGTAATTTCATGCTCGGCCATTTTTTTCAAAAATCTATCCTTGCAATGCTGAACCAATTCTTGTTCACGTCCTGCAAATAAATTCAATCCCACTGGCAGAAGCCTCTTCAAACATGCTACCATCAGTGATGCTTGAACTTCCTTGTCCTTGTCTCGTTTCTTATCCCGATGTTTCTTCTTTTTCTGTAAATGAAAATTACAAATATGAATAATTTAAAAATATTTTTATTTTTCCAAAATATACCTTTCCACCTCCAGCGGGAGTCGCTCCTTCACTCACAGCCGCTGGTCTCCTCGTCGCAGTAGGCATAATAAGAACCATATTATCAATTTCATTCGCAGATATAAAATTCTGTTCCTCTCGTAAAAAGTACTGCGATTTCGACCAAATGTTAAATATCGACGCAACGTGATTATAAAGATCCTCCGCTTCCGAAATATTATTCCTCAGCCATTGATTACGTTGAAGATCGACATATTTGATGAGAAGTGGATAAAATGAATAGATATCACGAACCAATAATTGCCAATCTTCTTGTATTTGTGCCTCAACTTGTGAAGTATCATCGGTGGATGATTTAATAAATCCTCTAAGTGATTCTTCTTTGTGAAACATATTGTCAGTACGTTTTCTCACACGTTCCGCCAAAGGTAGGAATGGATCCTTGAGTAATTCTTCCGAAGAATTGATAATAATTTGCTGTGTGTAAGCCGCAATTCTCGTCATCCATGGTGCATTCTCATTTCCAATGTTCTTTTTAATCAATTTGAGAACATTTTTCAAAAGTTGATTCATGTGATCACTTGTCACCATACTGACGTATGCGCCTTCCGTTGGATTCACATTATCCGGACCTTGAGCCCACCACAATGGAAGATACGAGCAAAGAAGTGGAAGAATCACATCAACAACGTGCGGTGCATCAGTGTAAGTTTTTTCAGATTCAACAAATTGATCCACTTCTGATAAAATTGTTTCCAATGTTGGCATACTTGATTCCATTCTTGTCATTACATCCTGAGCTTCTAGTGAATGATCAGCTATTCGATTTAACAGGGAGAATTGATTATGTTTATTTAAATGTGGTTCGAGAAAAGCCACTGGAAAACAGCTGGAGAAGGCTCCTAAACATGAACCTAAATTTGGTTTACTTCTCTCGATTTCTGTTTTTAGGTATTTTCGATCTTGAGTCAAAGTGGAATCCACACCGAGGGTGTAGAGTGAGGCCAACATTTTATAGGAAGCTACTTGAATTTCGTCCACTGTAAAGAAATAAAAAAAATAAATAAATAATGAAAAATTCATTTTAAGTTTAGCAAACTAGAGATTAACTTACATAGAAGATCACTGCCATATTCACAAGTTGCAAGATGATCAAACATGGCTGTGAGTACTGGAAGAATGACACTGTTAATATACGAGAGCGATGTGGATGTTTTTAAATGAGTCCCTCTAAGATGACTGAATTTGCCCTCTTGTAAGTTGAGAATAATATGACCAAGATCATCAGCAGTGTTGTTGAAGAAAGTCAACATGGAAGTTCGAATAAATTCTGGACAGTTCTTCACTAGTGATTTGGCATCAATACCCTTAACTAAAACTTGAAGGCACCTGACGGTAATTCTTACGTCTGCTCCAAAGGCAGCCATTCTTGATCTGAGTAAACTTGCCAATTTGCAAAATAAGGCAGCTACCATTTCCTTCTCTTTGAGAGATGCAGCACCAACATTATTGGTAGCTGTTGCAACGGCTATAAAATAATTTCTATGAGTGCTAAAATATTTTTCCACAAGTGGCAAAACTACCTTGCTGAAAAATTTAATATCCCTGGTAGCAGTTTTGAAACTTGTTCTTCTACTGAAGGTGTCCGATGGTCTTAAAAGTTTCATATTAATAGTTGCTTTATCAAGATATTCTATCAATTTCTCAAGCAGAGAATAGGCGAATCTTAATTCTACTGCCGCTCCAACTCCTCCAACTTCCGCTTCTCCTCCACGATTTGGTTTGTGAAGTTTGTATCCCTGATATTGGAGATATTTCAAAAATTCTTGAGAACGTTCACGATCTTTTCGTTTTTCTTTGTCTGTCAAAAGATCGTAGGGCACTAGTTGAGGATGTATTCCACCACCGACAGTAAGAAGTTCTTCTTTCTTTTTCTTGGCCCAAATATCGTGAGCATTGTCCGCTAATCTTTCAGCCATATTTTGCATTTCTCTACTTAATGTCAAATTTGTCATATCAACAGGATGAGGATTATAGTTGAATGGACTTGCAGAATCACCCTGAAAAAATAAATTCATGATTCATGTTCTTTAATAAGCGAATGATAATCTCAATTCACCTGACTTTTGGAGGATCGTCTCAAAGAATTACGATTCGTTGATTTATTATCAACCTCCGCGTGTTCAACACTCCAACCAATTGCTAAAAGTGCTTTCAAACTTTCTCGAACCGGTTCCTTATATCTTTCTCGTTCATAATCATTCAACGTATTATAGGGCTTTAATCTCGGATGTGTTTTATTCGCATCTGACCAGGAATCTCCAAAAGTCCAACCATTTTCTAATTTTCGACTTGCCCAGGCATCATGATAGTGTTCGGAAAACTTTTGAACTATTTGATTCAAATCATTATTCAGCACCACACTGAAATTCAAATTCAGTATAATTAAATTAATCGATAAAATTAAATTATGGATTTCAGAATAGATTTGTGATTAATAAATAGAATACCTAGAAGTGTTGATTGGTTGAGGATTATAGGGACCATCGGTAGATTGAGTAGAAGCCGATTTGCTTCCATACCATTCGTCGTCGCAATTTTTAGATAAAGAATAATCTGGTGGTAGAGCACATCCAATGGCCGTTAAGCAAGGAAGAGCCTTTCCGAATAATTCTGGATCGTAGTCCATTTTTGACAGAGAATCAAATATATTACTGAAAAGAACCATTGTCAATCTTTTCTCTTCATCGCTGGAAGCACCATAAGGACTCGAACCACTCGATCCAGTTGATCCATAATATTTTCCACAACGATCATAGTGTAATGTTAAGAGCTACAAAAATAAATTCAATTTTATTGAATATTTATTTAATATATATTTTTTAATAATTACCCTCAAAGCTACTGTTGTATATTCCGATAAATTAGAAACATCGACAGTCAATTTTCGAAGAAGCTTCAGCAGCATACTGGGTTGCATTTGACTAAAGGAAAATAAATAAATTTATTAATTTCAAGTAATTGTTAACTTTTGGAAATAAAATTCCCTACTACCTTGTTAATGCAACCAGGAAATCTGAAACCGCTTCTCGTTGTCCTTTGGTCAACATTCTGTTTTTACTTAAACGATAAACAGTGTGAAGTGTCGCATCAAGTAAACTAGAATAATTATCTGCCTCGTTATAAAATTTCGAGTGTTTAATTAGCAACGGTAAAATACTATTTCCTATGTAACGATTCATTGCTAAAGCCATATCTGATTCGTAACCATCGTTCTGTAAATCAAAATTAGAAATAAATAAAAAGCTTATTCGAGGAAGCAAAAATATTAATTAAATTCGTACCCTATCAAGCATAGTGGCAGCTCGTAAATCAGGTAAAAAGGCTTCTTCAAGAAGTTTGAAAAATAATTCCTGTGTCTCGATTCCATAAACTCTTTCCAAAAACATTGTGATACTTTGCTTATGACCTGGAATCAATCCAGACGGTGTGTCACTTTTTGGTCTCTCTTCACCTGCTGCTGGATTGAGCAATGTAAAACGCAACGAAAGAACTCCTTGAAGATCATCCAAAGGTACCAGTGATCTTAAAATTGCCCTAGCTCGAAGTGATTCATTTTTTCCTAAAAAATTTTGTTTACCAGTCAATTTAATCAATAGAATAATCTAATTTTGCTAAATAAAAATTTTTGGATAAAAGGATTAAGTTTTAATCACCTTGTTCAATCACAGAAGAGTCGGGAGCACAACGTCCCAATAAATCAACCAATGTACAGTAAAAATTGAGAATAGCTGCACCAGTGTCTATGTAATCTTCATCATCGTCTGATTCTGGTAAGGGATGCTCAAACTGTAGTCCTGTTGAAGTTCCTTCAGCTTCATCTTGGAGCTGTTTAAAATGCTAAGTTTGATACTAAATTAGTGCAAGGTATTTTTCATGCTTGGATGATGATGATCGGTTCAAACTCATAAAGTCTCTCAAGCAAAAGTCCTCTTATTACTCTTATTGGAATCAGATTAATTAGAACAATTGGAATCTATTTCTCATTACTATTTGGAATAATGTAAAATTTAGTATTTAGAGTCCATCATTCGGATTTGGATTTCAAATGGGAAAAAAAATTCCTAGAATAGAATAATAATAAAAATTTGAATCCAAACTATTAGTTTCATCAGGCAAAATTCGTGCTTGTGAAAATTCAATCGAAAATTCTTACTCACGAGACTTATTGATCAGCTGACCGAATGTCTGCTTTTAATTCCAACTTACTTTTCGACGATCAGCAATCCGTTCGGACATTTTGTTAGCATCTATAATTGCTCGCAATAATCCTTCACCTTCTCCACGAAGAGCTGGACCCAAACACTCTGGTCGTCGAATCAACAATCTAATCACGAGATTCGCATTCTCTTCAACACTCTCGCCTGAAATTGACAAAATTAAATTATTTTTTAATTATTTTATTTAATTAACGTATTGTCTTACCATTGACCCAGACACAAAATCGAAGAAAGTCAAGATAACGTTCTCCCTCAACAGGATCCCAACCTAAATCAGGATAACCTTTTTCCACCAACTCGGAATTCGACTGTAATCCACAACGTGAAAGATAAATGGCAATTTTTTCAAGATAATGTTCCCTTAATGCAAGAGCCAATTCTGTATTCTCCATCAGCGATGAATAAGACACATCAAGAGGTGTTGATCCTCTTAGTGAAGGTCTTGACAATAAAATATTACTGTTCTCCAGCAGAAAATCAAAATGATCAAACATGGCTTTTTGATTTTGTCGAGAAGTTCTGCAGAAATAACACAAAAATCGACAACAAGCAACAACCATCTCGTGAGATGTATCCTTCTCTTTAGTTGGAACTTCACCTTCAGCTGTTTGAGCTTGAGCTTGACCATCAGATTGTGCCTGAGCTCTTCTACCGAGAGTGTTAATCATAATTGCCATCACATTCTCATGTATCCTTAGAACTCGAATTAAATCTGGATGCTGGAAAAATGTATGATTGTTCACCAATTTCCAAAGACGTTCTCTCACCAAACCTTCTTCCTCTTGCGACATCTGAACAGGTAAAAGTGCTCGAATTTGACTTAATCCCACCCACATTTCTGCGACATCTTGTTTCGTTTTACTATTAATCACGTATGTTTTTTCCAAAGCTCGTATCAATTCTCCAACTGTATCGTACTGACGAACAAGAAGGCTAAACATCTCACGAACTAATTTTGGAGTCTCAATTTGTGATTCTTCGGCCCACTTGACGATTGTTGCTATCAGAACTTTTCTAAACACCTCTGTAATAAAAAGACAATTCAAAATTAAAACCTTTTGTAGAATTCGATCATCATATTAATTTGGTACAATAATCAAATGATTTTGATCATTATGATCTTTACCTTCAGCCGTCTTTTTTTGTGGCTCCGGTTCAGGTTTGGCTTCCTCCTCAAGTTCCTTGACAGTATTGATGAAATTAAAGAGTCTCTTCATGGCTCCAGGTTTCTCAATTTCGACAATCTCTTGAGCAGCATCAGCAGCCTCTTGAAGAGCAGTCAACGAGACATATGACATTAGTTCACTGTGAAATTCGTTCATTTTTGCTATAAGTTCTTCGCCACATGGACAATTATCACTGTCCTCTTCCTCGAGATTTTTAAAATTCAAAATAGCATTCATCTGCTCACGAGGAGGACATCGAAATTCTCTTGTCTTTTTTGCAGCTACAGCTGAAGGAAGATCGGATTGTTTGATTTCAATGTATCTTCTTAATTGATCAGCTTGTAAATCACCAACGAAATCGTGACTAAATGATATTATCGACTCAACACGATGACGCAATTGAATGTCATTCAAATGATGAAGCAAATAACACATTTGCAATTTTGCTCCCTCTGCCATTTTCATGTGTAAAAGTCCTTTTTTGTGTTCGTCTTTTCCCTCTGTAAAAAACCAAATGAAAAATAATTTAAAACATTTAAAATTTTGATAAAATTAAAAAAAATGTCAATAATATTATAATAATTAATTAACCTTTATCAAAAGTGTCATCCCATGTTTCTGGATTTATCATAGTTAGCAATTTTTGTATGTCTTCGTTTCTCAGCATTCCAACTAATAGAAGTCTGTCCACTAATTTTATTAGAGGTCTGTAAATTAAATAATTTCATAAATTAAAAGAATATTTTAATTACAAATTTTAGAATTATTGAAAATAATTATTTTTTAATTAAAAATAAGAATACTTTAATACTGTTTATTATGGAAAATGTATTTTTAAATGCAGAAAAGGTTATGAATTCAGAAAATTTTTCAATAAATTTTTAAATTAATTTTTCATGAAAAAAAAGCGTCAGTCAGACGTCGCTTACATACAAAAATAGATTTTCGTTACTGCCTCCGATTGGATCTCTGTTATGCACCTGATTGACTTCAACAGCTTCATTTAGAGCCATCATTACATAATCTCGAACAATATCCAGAGGGAAATGTGGACTGTATAGACTTTTGATGTTTTCAATATTCTGATTCTCTCTGAAATTGGAATTAATTTTTTTTATCAATAATTGTTTATTAACTAAAATAAAAAATAAAATAAACTTACCCTATTTCACTCATTTTCATTTGAGGGCGAACAGACTCAGTTTCTAGGTACCTCAAACTATGTCTCATTTCTAAATCTTCATATAAATCTTTCAATTCTTGTCCTAAAAAATTTATTTCAAAATTTATTTTTTAATTTAGATTATTTCAGCTAATTAAATAATTAGTTTTAGTTTTTTTCACATTAAATTAGAAAAAAAAGGAAAAGAAAAATTAAGATTTTGTATGAAAAAAAAATTGTTTACAAGAGACATTTACTTATTTTTGTTACCTAATGGAATGACGTATTCATTTTTGCAAACTTCCATTGTCGTGGCATGAGACTCGAGATGCAACGCGATAAGAAGATCATAAAATCCTTGTCGCAAGGGTCCTGACATATATTCAGCTCTTATTGCATACAATAATTGTTTCTGATCAACATGTTGACACAAAGCGTGTGCTGCTCTATAATTCGATTGGTAGCACAATGCGGCATAAAGCGTCAGTGTGTGTGCATGAAAACTGTAATAAAATCGATGGAAAATAAAAAATAATTAAAATTTCAGAAAAAGTTCAATAATCAATTTTTCCTACCTCAGCATCTTATCCATTTCAATTAATTCCAAAATGTCGATACAACGATCCTCTTCAGGTATATGAAGTGCCAACATTGAGATAGCATCTTCGCAGAGCATGGACCATCCTCGAATATCAGATAATTTTAAAGCATGAACTTGAAGAGATTGATTTGGTACTCTGGCCCATTGATGAGGTTTCAAGCACTGCACCTTCAGTCTAGGTGGAAATTGTGGAATCACATGACGCTCTGAATTCTGTAAAACAGCTGCCGATAATGGAAGTGTAGTCGAGGTCCTTCCAAGTTCAATTTGCAAAATTTCTTTACTAGTCGCTTCGACAAATATTGCTGGAAAGAGTTTAGTATCGGGTTCCATTTTAAATTTATGACTCGTTTCCTTTCCCTCACAGGTGAAACTTATCCAACCCGTGGCTGTATCAACAAAACAACCAATAAACATTCCCTGTGATGCTCCTTTACCCGATGCGTCCTGTGTCACCTCGTTGTAAAGTTCATCTGCTCGAACCATGTAGCAACTTTGACGATCCACTCTGAAAATTAATTTATCAAATTAATTTAAAAAACCAATAAATAAATAAATAAATTGAAAATTAGTATAGATAAATAATTACTGTTCCAAAGGCTGATCATAATTGTCAGTGATGATCACGGATACTTTTCGAACTTTTGACAAATTAAAATCCTTGGTGTGAATGTGATATTGCGATGTAACCCAACCAACATAAACGTGAGTTGGATCCTGACCGGGAAAAATTCGTACACCATAAAAATATTCGTTCATTAATTTTAAACAATCAGCATCGAAAATTTCATTTCCAATTGATTCGATTCCAGTTCCAGTCATTACTGACATTGCTTTCGGTGCATTTCTTTCGGGAATTTGTGGTGGCATCATTTTTGTCAAATCGTTCTGCAAAAAATTTTAATTATAATAATTATTAATATTCCATTTTTTTAAAAATAATTAAATAATTAAATACCGTTGAAGTTCTAATTTGAGCTGTTCGACTGCCAGAAGTTGACAAAGTTGTTTGCTTCATGCTCCTATCAGAAACATCGGATCTCGCAAATGGTTCCGGAGTCTTGGCCTTTGCGTCTGGAGATTTTGCCTTCCTCGAGAAAAATCTAGACACGTTCGAACTGGAATAAGTCTTCTATATAAAATTGTATTTTATATTTTTATATTTTTGTTTTCAAATCAAAATTCAAAAATTCCGAGGAATTAAAAAAAAGGTCATTGTTCTCATTTTCAACCTTAAAAGCAAAATATATAATAGCAAAATTATAAACAGCAAATCAAATTCTGGGGGGAAATCAATTAATTTTGGATTTAATGAAATTTAGATGATTTTACACTATTTGATAAATATATAATGAAAGTAAAATGATATTTTGAACAAGTAATACTTTTAGAAATCTAAATAAATTGGGTAAAACTTGGCTAACATGGGGATTTCATCATTTTTCATATAAAACTTACGCGATATCTTCCATTTCGATACTACGCTTGCTGAGAGAAATAAATGAAAATTAGATGTTTATTATTAAAATAAATGAAATTAGAATTTCATTAATTTCGTGTTTGTTAATTTTGGGAAATAATTACCGAAACGGTGATCGTCCTCTTTTTTTCTTGTCATCCTTAAGATCACCATTCATTTCTCCATAACCGTTCATTTCAGCTTCACTGGTTGCTCGATCTAGACCCCGAGGAACAGAACCTTTTCTTGGCGGTCTTGATGGTTTATTTCGTTGAATCGGAAGTGGTGATTCTTTCATCATTTCATCATTTTCCACTGCATCTTCAGAATAATTTCTCTGTAATCCTAAAAAAAAGATATTTTGCTATTATTTTTTTCGACAATAATCATTGTTAATAAAAAATTATCTAAAAAAAAAGCAACTAGAATTTTATTTTTAAATTTTTCTGAAAACCTTTAATGTCGCTCATGCTAAATCCAGATCTCATGATTTGTTCAATATGAGCGGAAGGTGTTGCTTGTTGCACTTGTTCCATTTGTTCAGCTAAAAGTCTATTTTGTTTCATTTTAATTTCCTGCCATCGTCTCATTTTATCAGCATCGGAAATAAAAGTAGAACCACAAATAACTGGCAACGAAAGACGTAAAAATTCCCAATTTGCCTTTTCCATTGTTTCAAAAGTATTGTGTGAAATTTTTAAACATGGTGGTGAATCTGAACCGGCTGGAATTCTCGCCACGTCGATTCTCGTGTCGGACATGTCATCTGTATTTTCATAAATTGGCTGATCCTTTGTGTACCAATAGGTCACCGGTCGATTCATATTTCTGCAAAAATAATTTACAAAATATTTTAATTATTTCAGTTGATATTGAAATTTCAAATTGTTTATTGAAAAAATCTTGCAAATTTAGAAAGTAACTTACACGCAAAAAGGTTCATATCCCTCCTGTAAACCACAGGTGGTGAAAAATTTCAGTGTATCAACATCTTGTCCAAATGTTAATTTAGCCTTTTGTCCGACCCCCAGAGTGAAAGCTGGAACAAATGAGTCTCCCTGGACGTCTGCAAATGAAGTTTCTCCTCCCAAAGCATCCATGAGAAGTTCTCCATTCAGCGAGAAGCCTAAATGAAAAAAAGTTGCTTAATTAAAAGATATAATTAAAAAAAAACGAAATTTATTATAATGAAATGGCTGACTTGACATTCTTTTAACGAGAAATTAGCTGAATCAAACAACTAAATAAAATTGCTCATGCAACCGACTATATTACAGCGTTTTTTTTTTTTTAATAAAATATATATCTATTTTACATTTACAAAATATTGCAGATATTTATTATATATAGAGAGAAAAGTTAGTTAAATGTTAAATTTTTAAGTCAGTCAGCATTTTATCAATAAGATTATAACGAGCAAATGGACAAGCAACAGAAAAGCTAAATACGCGAAGTATATTTTGTACACTTAAAATGAGTACAAGTGTACTTGCATATATATAATATATGAGACGTGTTATAGGTGAACAGAAAACAAGAAAAAGGGACAAATTGTTTAGAATTAACACACCAAATACATTTTTGTTAAAACATTTCATTATTTTTTTCTACTAAAATTTTGTATTTTCTTTCCGTCATTTTCTTTCAAATTCAGGAACTTCACTGTCAAATCCCAACAATTGTTAAAATTGACTATAATTTATTTAGTTTTATTAATTTTACCTCTGTATTTATTTATCAAAATTATTTGAAAAGAATTAAAATTAAATTTATAATTAGAATTATTAAATATTTTAGTTAAAAATATGTATTTTTTTATTTTATAAAAAAACTAATAAAGAATCATAAAAATATTTGTAAAGATAAATTACGGGAAATAATTAGGGCATGCCAAATATTATAAATTCACAGAATCTGAACTGAAGATTTTTTTCACTTTCATAAAATTTTAATATTTGTGATCGCTGATTATTAATGTTAAGCGTGTAAAGTAGTAATGAAAAAGCAATTCTTTGCTAAATTATGTAATCAAAGAATACTGGATACCTCTCTAAATAAAAAATTTTATTAATACAAAATTTTATTATCAATATTATATAAAAAAAAATAAGTGAATATAAAATATATAGAAGGATTTTATTAAGATGAGAATATAAATATTAAAAATAAGGAAATTTAATAAAAACATTTATAAAAGACAAATATAATTAACGTAAAAATAGATAGCAAAAACATTTATATAATGAAGCTTAAATATATGGAAATGATATCCAGTAATCTACTTTGACAACTAGATTATTAATTAATTTAGCTTTTATATAATTGGCAGCTGAAACTTTCGCCTAAAAATTCCGTCTTACTAATTGTTCGATCTATAAGATCCAGGAAAACCCCAACAACGTCTCCAACTTGCCATTGTTTACCGAATGTTTCAGCAGTGCCCGAGTAAACTTTTTCCTCCTTGAAAGAAACACCAGTGTACATTTCGAATTTTTCATATAACAATTTGAATAAATAATAAATTATTCTTTCATATTTAGTTTTGTTTGCTTTTTTGAGAAGTTTATCAGTATTTACTTGTTTCATATAATTTTTTGATTAATTTTTTTTACTCCTCTGATTATGTTTTAATTATTTATCCCTTTGATGAAGATAATTTTTTAAATTGGATAATATTACCCAGCATAATATCTGGCACGTGTCCAATAATAAGTATTACATTACACTTTTTTTTTTGTTTTATGACAATGCATTAAGGCTGTTAAATAACATTAGGATGATACATAATAACTCACGAAATTGATTTCGATTTTTTCAACATACTGTCATACTGTAGTTGATATATTTTATAACGTCGTGAATAGTAAATTGCAAATGAAATTGTGGAGAAAAAAAAATGTAAATAGATTTCAATTTTTTTTGTCGAGAACTCAAAATAATGTGAATAAGTGTCGAAAGTTTTGTTTTCTAAGACATTTTCTCTAGACTTATAAAATCTAAACTAGAGTGCAAGCTTCAGTACTGTAGTAATTATTATTTTGAAAATAACTAAAGATCTAAATTCTATTTTTAAAAAGCATTATATATTTATTTACATATAAAAAATTGTAGAAAATGGAATCCCAAGAGTTTTTATATTAATTTTGATTATAAAAATTGTAACTTGACGTTTCTTTATTTTTCAAATTAAAAAAAAAAATGAAGAATGAAAAATGATTTGATTGCAACAACCAAATCTTAAGTGGTTGAAATGAATGAAAATTCTATTTCATTCTCTTGGGAAAGGTTTGCAAACAAAAAAATCAACATATATAAACATAGAGCGAGACTGGAAAAAGTAGTAACGAAAAAAACCAAAAAAAAAAAAAAATGTAAGAGTTTTTTAGACTGCTATGGGTAAATGGAACTCTTACTGATCGTTCTGTCTGCGACGTCAATGAAACAGCCGACTACATCGCCCACTTGATATCTATGACCAAAACTCTCGTTGGTACCACCATGTACTTTGATCACCTAATATTCACCACGAATTACTTTCAAGTATTCATTTTTTTGTTTTTATAATCAATATATAAATTAAATATCACTACCTGCGACAGTAATTGACATCCCTGTGATTCTAAAATAGCAACTAATCCTTATTTCTATATTTTTTTTTAAAAAATATTTTTTCTTCATTTTTTCATATTGCTTTTGAAATACGAATTCCAGAATTTAAATTAAAAAAATATTTAAAAGTTTCCAAATATGATAAACAAGTGAAAATATTTATCGATATTTGTATTTGTAATTTTTTTTTTTATGAATATGCAGAGAATTGAATTGTTTGGAAAAAAGTCCAATCTTACGTTATAACCATCGAATGCCCAGGTACTGTCATCATTGCCCAACATATTTCCCGGTGGACAATCAGCCCTGGCCCATCCGACTCTCATTGGTCCAGCAGTCAAAACTTGAAATTCAAAATACCATTTTCCACTCGTAACAGCATAATGCCTCTCCACTCGATAAGTTCTGAACGACAATTGACGTAATCGATTCGCTTCCAGCAGCAGTGCTGTAAAAGTTACAAATTTTACAAAAAATGATCCGATTTTGAAACTATTCGCAAATGAAAAAATATACCTTCATGCTGCTCTCCAGTTGGTGGATCCAACATATATCCATAAACAAGTAAAGTCCGAACAGTTTCACTAGCAGTGTCACGATTAGCTTTCTTGATAGCGTCATCAACTTTTGGATAAGGAACAAGATGAGGACTTCGTCTCATCTCTGAATCCTCATTTAATCCATAAGTCCAGCCCTGGCTGATTCTCTCCTTCGCCCATAAATTATGAGTATTTTCCGCCAATTGATCAACAAGTTCCTCCATTTTCGGTGTCAAAGTAATGGCAGTTAAATCAAGTGGCGCTGGCTTATATCCACTGCTCTGCAAAAAAGGTTCATTCGGCAATCTCAATGTCTTAATCCTCGATGGTGGTTTATCCATAGTTATATAGTACCCCAAGGCAAGAATTGTCTTTAAAGTCTGAACAGCCAATTGTGTATCATATCTCTTCTCAGCGTTTGGTAATCTCTCAAATTGTACAATACAAGGATGTATCTTATTAAGATCATCCCTCTGTTCACCAAAAATCCATCCAGCTTCAATTTTATTCATAGCCCACATTTCGTGAATATTTTCAGCAAGTTTGTCCCTTATTTGTTCAACGTAACTCGGTAGATTGATCATCGACGTGTCAACCGGAGCTGGCACAAAGGCAGTGTCATCTTCAACAAGCCATGGACCGGCAATCACCACTTTGCCCATATTTCCAAAATAAAAACAAGGATCCAACGATAGAATCTGCTGTGGAAGAAGACTCTCAACCAAGGGTGAAAATTCTTCAGGTGGTTCGAATTTCAATCGTCCATGATCACCACCCAAAAGAAATCGACATGATAATTTTGACGAGCAACTAATCACTGGAAAGAACATTCCATCGAGATTGAAATTTCGAAATGAACCATTAATTGGTATTCCATTGAAGGCAAAATTTATCACCGGAACCGTCAAATCCAGAGAACATCCAATTACATCAGTTTTCTTGATAAATGGCTCGGTTGCGTCTTCAATTACACGAGTTTTACGACCACCCGTCCAAAGATATGAGCCATCGAATCCAAATGAATAAAGATCATCACCAACTCCATTGCCACCCCATTTTTCACCACCACCCGGATAGGGAACATATCCCGCGATATTGGCCCATCCAATCCTCAAATGTGGCATCATGTGTGTTGTCTGCTCAATATGATCCACTGTTACTTCAAAATACCATTTTTGATAGAGCGCCGATCCCTCGACTCTGCCAACGAAAATATTTGGTCTCACACTCGCCACATGATCCACTAATTGTGTTTGTAGTAATAAATTTTTTCCCGGTAGTAGAAAATCACAAATATTGTTCTGCGACGAACGTACTGCCACTCCATTTCCCACGCAAAGGGAACACAAAACGTCCAGTACTTTTGGATCTCTTCCATGCTTCTCCAAAAGGGATATTATCACCTTGATGTGCTCATCCTAAAAAAGGCAACGATTAAATTAGAAAAAAAAAATAAATAAAAAAAAAATAAATATTGTAATTACCCTCATCATGTTTAATGCTTCTGGCGAGTCAATAAGCACACAATGCAACACATCTAACATTCCAGTTCCCTCGCTTGATGCCTGTGATCCTAACCGACTGAAGAGCCAATTAAGACGATTGCTATTGGCAAATTGTGCACAATTCGTATGATTGCCTTTAATAATGGCAGCCAATAATTGATACAAATAACCGGATATTTGGTCCCATGATTGTCCACTCTCATCACTAGAAAGTGCAACCAAAAATCCTTGCGATGTAATAACATTTATTTTATCAATAGCTTCTAAAATAAGATTCAATATTCCCTCCTCTTGAAATAAATCCTGACGATTTCTTAAGGCACGAATCTTATTTTGCTTTTCCTCGTGTTCTAAAAAAACAAAAGTAATAAAATTAATTTTTTTTATTACAATCAAAAACATTTTTTTTATGTTTCAGAAAATTTGTACCCATATCATCTTCAGGTTGAGCAAAGTAATTGATCAAATCCTCGAGGCACATAACCATTTCGTTGAGATTTACATTTTTAAAAAATTGGGAAGCCCTTCGATCAATCTGCAGCGTTTCTAGTCCTCTATATTATAAAGGAAATATTTTTTAGTTTTTGTTTCATTAATTTAAAAGCCTACTGGGTACAGAGAGAATCAAACTGTAGGTATTTTTTTTAAATTTTTCGCAAAAAGATTGTTTCTAAAATGATATTTGTCGTTAAAATTTGTTGTAAAAATTTTTAAATTAAATTGTTATAAAGAAAAAAAAATCGTGACTTAAAAAAGAAATGATGCTATTTGATTATTAAATTGTATTAATATTATTACTATTGTATTATATGGTTTTTTCTATGGTATTATTATAAATATTTTTTTATGGTAGTATTATTTTTTTTATGGCGGAATTATGATATTATGGTGGTTTTATGGTATTATTATGGTAGTAAAAGTGATCTATTCTTACGTGATGAATTGTGTGAAAAGACTACTGCATTTTCTAATTACTCTGGCAGTTCTAGATTCCTCTTCTTGTGATCGGGAAAAATCAAGACCATCGTCCATTTTTCCTTCCTCTTGCAAAACTGCCTGTTTTTCTTCGACTTTTCCAACACCTTTTTTCTTCGTTTCGTACGACTGTAATGCGAAAATTAATCCTACATAAATATTATATATTCTCATAAATATTTTTTTTTTAAATGAAGTAATCTTTTTCAAAGAAATAATTTTTATTTGATTCAAATAAATATTTAGTAACTGATTAGTAGAATAAAATAAATTTGTTCAGTGAGGCAAATTTTTTTTCTTCTGAAATTGAGTAATTTACCTTGTAAGACACCCAAAGACTCGTTTGTGCATGTTGCATGATAACAGTTGAATCACCATATTTGATAATGGGCAATCCAATAACTTCCAGGTCTTTGTCTTCGAGAGCAACTTTTTGATCGTCCTTTTCTTGTCGCAGTAAAAAATTACATATATCTGTGGTTGCCTCTTTCCTGTAACGATTATTTTATTGAATAAAATATGGTTTAATTAATTTAAATTTTATGAGAAATAAATTAATTTAAAAAAAAAACTTTTTATATTAATTTCTTTCCAATTAATTCATTTTCAATTTTTAGAGTAAAAAAATTAAATATTTTTTTATTTTTATTACTTGTCAACGAGGTATAGTTCATTATTGGCTTCATTAACACCTAGATAACGTCCAGTGGTTAAATGTCTAATCCTCATTGGATGCATCCAATTAATAAATCCACCAGACCATTTTGTTCTTGCAAGCTCCAATCGCCACAGGGATCGAGCTTGACTCATTACACTTCCTCCTTCGTAAATAACTATACTGTAAAGTTTTCAAGAATCAAATATTTTAGAATTGACAAAATTTTGATAAAAAATTAATTATTATTAGAATTAATTAAATATTTTGAAAATTTTTAATTTATTCATTTAAATTTATTCGTACTTTTGATTGGGAGCTGTGCTCCATGTCGAAGGTATGGTGAGACATTCGTCACCACCATGAAAAAATCTAAGGACGTCTCCTCCAAACACGTAACCTACATATTTCATTCGACTTATGCCAGTCCCATAAGGTTGAACAGACCAATGTGTTACGTGGAAGGAAGCGTTTACTACTGATAAGTTATTTTCTTTAGTCGTGTGCTAAAAAAAAGAGAAAATTATTTTTTTATTAAAATAAAAATTTAGTTTTATAAAATTAATTAATATAAAATAAAATAAAATTAATTAAAAATTTAATTACCAAATATCTTTCTGTGGCGACTGATACAAGAATTAAATCATCACCAACTCGAACTTTTTCTCCCTCTGATCTTTGTTTCGAAGCCGGATGTACAGTCCACCAGCAAGCCTCTCCTGAATTAAAAAAGAAAATTATTTTTTAAAATAAATAATAATAATATGTAATAATAAAAATAATAATAATAATAATAGTAATAATAATTGTTTTTTAATATAAATTTTGTTTTCATGAAAAACAATTTTTTTTTAAATTAACAAATTAAGATTAAAAGCATACCTTGAGAGTGCTCCTGTAAACCGACATCAAAAGCAAGTTTATCGTTTGAAGAACTCGTGGATAGACACGCTAAGTACTGGAATAAAATTAAAAAATAACATCTTTTAAATTACAGGAATTTTACTTTATTTTTTTAATTTTTTTATTCTTTGGTGTAAATTGAGTTATTGAAATTTTAATTTAAAAAAATTGTTAATAAATTATGAGAATTAAAACTACAAAAATAATTATAATTTAATTAAATAATTATTTTAATAAAACAAATATTATTTAAAATAAATAAATTTAAAATTAAATAAATTATTAACAGTAACTCACCATATCACTGTTAAGATGCCTGAGAAGAATTGCATTGCCATAAAGCAATGTTCTGTGACCCGATCCTGTACCCTTTCCCTAAAAACGAAATAATAACAAAATATTATAAAAATAATAATTTGTTTTCAATAAAAAATTTTTACTTGCCATTTAAGTATCAATTAATTGTTATTTAAATTTTTTTTCCAACAAAATTAATATTTAAAAAAAGGTTTTTCTAAAATTACTATAAAGAAAATATAATTACCTATTTAATTATAAAATTATTGTATATTTATAAATCTTGAAAAATTAAAAACAATAATTTTTATATTGTTATTATTTATATAATATAAAATATATAATATGTAAAATAAAATAGTAAATATAAAAATGAAATATAAAAACTGAATATGAATTTTTCTCTTTAATAAAAAATTATTATAATTTAAAAAAATAATGTAATTAGTTTATACTTATAAGAGAAGGCCATATAATAAACGTAATGAAGCAGTTAATCTACTCTACTATTGTGCAAAATATTCACACATCACTTTCGTGATTTGCACATGGAATACAAAATTTCCGCTCTATTATGATTCAGCTTTTCATTGTGAAATAAACTTGCGAGTAACAATAAAATGAACAATAATTCGTTTTACTCAACAATTATAAAACGACTAATACAATTTTCTTTGTTTAATTTATATAGCCTATATATGGTAAAAAAATAAATAATTTTACTATTTATTAAAATCAGTAAAATTTCACAGATAGAAAATTTATAAACTGAATCATCATGTTCGTCAGACAAAACTGAAAGGTGTTATAAAAACAAGATGAAAATTAATGTTTGACTATAAAGTCTAATCCAATTAAATGCTGTAGGTAATTTCCGTATAAACAACCATATCTTTTTGATTGAAAATCAATATAAACGATATTGAGTCCTCTGATAGTGATATATGTTTGTCATTGTTTCGAGAAAATTTTTGATAGAACAAACATTTCTCTAAAAGTAATTCAATTAAATATACTTTTAAGCAAATTGCTTTTTTTCTATTTATTTAAAAAAGTATCCAGTTCACAAAAAATGTATAAAAAAGATTTAATTGTTCATTAACTATTTTATGTAAATAATATAATTTTTTTATATAAAAAATTAAATATTGAAAGTAATTTTTTGGTAATAAATAAAATTTTTTGATTTAAAAAAAAAATTTAGGAAAGCAAGTAAAGAGAGAAATAAAAATATTTTGCAGTATTGTCTGACTAATGTTGGTTTTTTCTACTTATACTACTCTACCAAACGCTCACCAACTTACAAGCAGAAGAAATTGATTAAATGTTAGTTACACAGATAAAACATGTATTTTACAATTCCATTAATCTTTCCAGGAGAATTTAAATATCTGATTAACTTGAAAAAAAAAAATTATGAGACTCAAAGCAATAAATCTTATTTTTAAAAGAATTGTTAATAAAAAGTTTTTATTTAGGTAAATGTCAAAAGCCTTTTTATCAATGGTAAAAATATATTATTTATTTAGAAGAAGAATATTTATTTAGAATAAGAAAAATATTTATTTAGAATAAGGAAAATATTTTCATTTTATAATAAAGAAATAAATAAATATTTCTTAAACAATTGACATTTATCATTTAGTTTAATTTAAAAATTCAAAAATTTATTTCAATCCTTGAAAGACTATAGTTTACATACATATAAAGGGATACTTACTAAACTTTCTTGTTGCTGTAAATGAAAAAAAACACAAATGGGAATGAATTTGATTAACACAATTCTTATAATCATGATGGATTTTACGTTAGATTGACAATGACGCAAGGATTCTCATGTGCATGGTACATTTGTTTCTAATCTAATTGAACTTGATAATATAGGAAGTTTATATAATACAAATAAACACGTTTTCTACTGGTATATACAGAGCTGTGCAAAAATATACATTCACAATAGAAATATCATCGTAAAAAATTTTTTTTTAAAAATTAAATACTTTAATTAAGTAAAATTTTTTCGAAAAATTCTGTAAAGTTATTTTACTCTAAACGAAAGATTCTTTTAATATTAGAAAGGGAAAAAAAGGTAAAAATCTGTCCTTCCTTGCTTTGCGTGTTTACGATATACTCCGCCTTCTTTTTTTTTAACACGAACTATTTGAAAAAATTTACATATCGTCCTTTTGCTCACGTTTTTTTTATCCACGTGACATTAAAATTTTTTTTTTATTCCTAATTTCTTATCGATAAAACGGGACAAATTTTTCTAAGTGGAAATATGAACAACTGAATAAAAAAATATTGTCAACACAGACAAAAGTGAAACAAACGAAAATGAAAAAAAAAAATTAAATTACATTTAATATATAAAAAAGTTAATTAAAAAAATATAAATATTTTTAATTAATTTTTTCAAACAAATGAATAAATAATTTTTTTATTTCTTATGATGTAAACATTTTAGACAACTCTGTAGCAATGATTGGATTTATTGACACATGCGACATACTGGAAGGGAGGATCCATGCGGATGCAATCGAAAAAAGTGTTGCATTCATAATTGCTAAAATGTTGTTGTTGTACGATTTTTTTTTAAAAAGGGACAAGTTACATACATTGAGAATAATTGCGTGAATAATAATTTTTAGTCAATGATTTAATGGATGACATTTTATAAAATGCAAAGGGTTAGATAAGTCATATATACAAAATTTATATATTGAAAAATATTACCGAAATTCTATCATTCAAATATTTATATCTATTACTAACGTATTAATTAATTTTAAAAATTAATAAATATTTAATTTAAATATTTAAAAAATTAATAAAAAAAATTATAATTAAGAAATAATAAATAAAATACAAAAATAAAAATTTTTTTTCAATTAAAATTTTTCCATGTTAGATAATAATTGTCATACAACAACTTCATTGTTTCATTTTTGAGATTTATTAAACATTCGAGATGCATAATGTTTTAAAACTCGTTTTTCAGAGGAGGCCAAGTATAATTTTTCAGTGTGCAGTTAAAAGGGAAATAAACACGAGGGATAGACAAATATAATTTTTTTTGGCCCACTCCTATTGAAAAATAAAAAAAAAAAATTAATACGTTGAAACGAACAATATTGATATATGAAATGATATCAGCTAATATAGACTAATTATTAGAAAAATAGTTGCTATAGAAATTTGTAAATTTCTGACAGTTTGAGTCCGTTCAACGTACACTTTAAACGAAATTACACCTACACGTGGCTATTTTAATCGTAGGAACAATTCTATGGCTACTTTACCGTCTCAGACCCAGCAGCCGTGACCAACTCTTGTAGTGCTCGTACCGAAAGTGCTTGCTCTATTACAAATACACACTGTGACAAATCAGGCGGAATATTCTGAAAAATAAACAAAAAATTTTTTTTTACTTTTTTAATTAATGATAATTATCATTTAATTAGTTTAATTATACTTGTATTCATAATTAGTTCTGTTTTAATTAATTAATATTAATATTTACAAATAATTATTTTTACAATAATTAATGATTACAAACAATTATTTTTACAATTATTAATTTTTCCAAATAATTGTTTTTACAATAATTAATGTTTACATGCAATGATTAATTTTTACAAATAATTGTTTTTATAATTATTAAAGTTTACAAATAATTATTTTTACAATTAATAAATTTAAAAATTGATTTAATAAAGTATAAAATTACTAAAAAAATTAAAGTTTAAAAAAATTTTATTTACTAGTTTCAATGATTTTTGATATAATTTTTTTCTTTAATTAAACATTTCCAAGTGTTGCAATTAAAAATAATTTTTTATCAAAATTAAAATTTACCTTGTCTGCTATGTTTTCCAAAAAACAGTGCCGATTTCCAAAACCCTCGGCTGCCAAACATACCCTTTCCCCCGTAGCTGTACACGAAAGACATACCATGTCTTCCTGTAATTAAACATAATTAGAAATTTTTTTAAAATTATTTTTCACAATTAAAATGAAAATAAAAAATTAGTACCAGAAACTATTATATATTTTTATTAAAATGGTAATTTATTTTAAAAAAAATTTTTAAATTGTAATTAATTGAAATTGCTGAAAAATGAAAACTGATAAAAAATAAAATAGTAAAAAATAATATTTATATGTATAGTATGGAGTAAGTTAATTTTGACCAAAGTAATTCGTCGAAACCTTTTTAAAAGGAATGTAAATTAATTAATTAATGTAGATTAAAAGGAGGGAATTACAACAATGGTACTATTTCCGTCAAACGTCAAAATTACGATGGGGCCAAATCGCATTACACGAAGTGCGTGCCAAATTCAATTTGGCTGACCTGAGAACTTGTACAGGGCAGATACTAGAGACAAAATGTAAGACAGGAAACACACATATGCTGATGAACAAATTTAATTGTTGATTTGAAAGATAAGTAAATTCACTTCTTGGCCCACGGCCATCGATTATTCTAGATGTATATAGCATAGTTTACACCAGCCATTGTGGCTGCGAGATAATCACAAGATACTTTGTTAATTATTTAATGATTCACTTTTTTTTCGTCCTTGCATAAATAAATTCATTTTATACAAATAAATATCCACTTACGTATAGAAACATAATTTTAAATAGTAAATCAAATTACATAATTACAAATTCATGATTTTTATTTTTATCAAGAAATTTACGTACATAAAAAACCATTCAAATTAATCAAATACACAATTACTTTCAGGTAATTTGATATATATTTCATAATTAATTTACAATAATAATATAATTGTAAAGGGCAAATTTAAAATAAATTTAATAATCGCTATGTTTAATTGTAGAAAAAGAATATATGCAAAAAATGTAATTCTGTAAATAATAGACTTTTCCGTAGACAGGGACTAAAAAATGAAATCTTCCGAATGGAAATTTTTTTTTTCCCCTTTTTATTTATATCATCCCCTATATAATTTTTTAATTATAGGTAAGTGTATAATAAAATATATTATATTTTTAAATAGAAGAAACTGGAATTTTTTTTTTATAACCAAAAATGTTATAATTGCGAATATTTATATATAAGGATTTATCTTATCGGACAATAAAATGTGTGAAATCGCAAAAGAAGGTAAACTTTTACGTTTCCTATCTACACTAAATCAAAGATGAACAACTCTGTAGGTCAAGGACGCAATCCTATTTCAGAAACTAGATTATATATCGCCGACACTATACGACAGTCTCTTCGTTCAATACAGAGAATACATGATCTTTTGTAAAAGGTTTCCAAAGAGGTTCTTCAAATTCAAGTCCCATTCTTGATGGTCTCAATTCCTATAGAGTTGATAAGAAAAAGAAAAAAATAATCTTTTAGAACTATTTTTTGATATTTTTTCGCGTTGATTGAAAAAATTAATATTATTTAAAAAATTTCAAAACAATTTTGATTATTTTTTTTTCAAAATAATTACAAATTATTGCATTATAGTATGGCAGTGAAGAAAAAAAAATTGCTGCAGGTGACAAAAGTGTATGACAATAAGCAGAAACCTTTAAAGGTTTCTTATGTTATGCAATCGAATTGAGACAAAAAGAACTCGTCAATTTTTCTACAGAGAGATTGATGATAAATTTAACGATTTTTCAATTTTTTCAAAAGAGAAAAACTTCACACCAGTGATTTTCATATGTTTTGTTTTTTAGTTTTGGAAAAAAATTAACGTCAAATTATCAAGTAAAATTAACAAGTTTATAAAATTTATAAAAATATATAAAAATTCTTGTAAAAAAAATGGATAACTACAGAAATGAAGATTACTATTCTAATAAATCGTACGTTTTATTATTTAATTAAATAATTTTTTTACTTTTTATCGATTTACAAAAATTTTCATTTTTGTTTCTCATTGCAAAAAAGCTAAATATTTTTCTTTTTCAAAATTAATATTATATAAATAATTCATGTAAAAATTAAATTATAATAAAAATTGAATTTCAATATAATAATAAATTATTTATTTAAAATAATAAATAAAAATGTTTCAAATAGGTAAAATAAATTCTTTAAATTCAAATCTATGAAAATATGTTGAAAATTAAATATATTAGAATTAAGAATCTAAATTTGAAAAAAGAAAATATTCTGAAATGAAAATAGTTTTTAAAACTAGTTTTCTCCAAATAATGAGTCTGTTCTACAAAATTTATTTCTAGATACAGCAGAGATGACAATTTTAGAAACGATTCACTGATGGAGGTAACGGATGGTCTTTTTTCGAGATGTGAGAAAAAAAATGATAAACGCGAGGAAGTTAAGAAGGAATTGACAAAAAAATCATCACGTATGAGTAGTGCACGTGCTTGTGATGTAAAAAAAAAAAGAGCAATTAATGGTTTTATACTATTTTACATGGAAATGTATGCGAAAAATTCTGGAAAACATGTCACTTGTGTGGCAAAAGAAGCAGGAAAAAGATGGCGTTGCTTGTCATTAAAAGAAAAAGAAAAATATAAACAAATGGCAAAAGAAAAAACCGAATCTAGTGCAAATAATGCAGAAAATGCAGCAGCAATGAAATATCCAAAATTGAAAATTGAAAGAAAGTGAATGTGGTAATAACAATATATATATAAGAATAAAAATAGAGTTCCTTCTTATGTGGATATATATGTAAAGCGATGATGGAAATCATTCTCAGGCCTTGCTATATATTCTGAAGGGAATGAGATCCAATGAAGCTCATTGTTTAATCTACCTACGAAGCGAGGATCAATAAGGTACGCTCGATCGACTCCAAAAGCAAATCAGGTGGCATTTTCTCGCAAGATTGATTTAGCCAACAAATAAAATCAAATTTCTAGAATGGCACAACCCCTTCAAGGTCAATGGAGAAATTAACTTTTCTAAATTCTACTTTTTTTTTCATATGATAATAATGATATCAGATATGATGTTTCAATTCCAAAACACTTATCACGCCAATCTATCAGAAAACTTATTCTTAGCGTTTCATATATAGAAAGACTTCATTTCGGTAAAAATAGACCAATTTTATCCTGACACTATATATAGAGAAAAGTCTTCATAAAATTTTTTTTTTCATTATTGGAGAAAAACATTTTCAAAATTTTACAATACAATTTTAATATTACGATTTTGTTTTTGTATATTGTATCTTGTATTTCAATTGTATTTTATATTTTGTATTTTCACTTCTAATTTAATACAGATGGAAATTTTACTCTCTTGATTGTTATTTATTTTGCCCGTAAAATAAAGTTTAAGAATATATAGAGAAAAAGTAGGTCTGAAGAATTGTCTGTTTATCTTTGAGGAAGTGCAGCTCACAAAATTTTCAGAATTTAGATTCTGAATGTAATGTAGAAAAATATATGCGACATACATTAGGAGATGAAAATCTTGAAAAATAACATTCTTAATATTCTATAAATTTTCATAAAATTTTATAACCAAAAAAATGAACTAAATTTTAATCGATTCAAAAAAAAACAAGTTGACAATTAAAAAAATCAAATTGCTGTTTGGAGATTCAAATTAAAGGGATGATTTAAAAAACTAGAATTTTTAATTTCTTAAAAGACTTTCACTCCTATAAAATATTTGATTTTTGTTAAAAACGTTTTTTAAATTAATTTTCTAATAAAAACGCCTTTTAATTTTTTCGAAAACGCAGAATTTTTAAACATTTAAATTTCTTTTTAAATTTTAATAAAAAAGAAATAAAGAAAAATAACAAAAAATTTTATTTACATTTAGAATAAAATAAAAAAAAAAATCATAGTTTCAAAGAGAAACTGATTTAAAAGTCAGATATTGGGAAAAAAAAGAAAAGAATTTTGTGATAAAATTTTAAAAATTCAACGTTATACAAAAAGTAAAAATGAGAAAAATGAAATTTGGTAATATTTCAAAAATATAAATACTTTATTGCAAATAAATGTTTTAAATTTTTTACCAACATCCATTTATTATTTATTCTATAAATACTATAGAAAAACAATATATGGAATACTAAAATATTTTTCGATTAAATATAAACTTAATCCCCATCGTAATGGAAAAACGTGTAATGTTTTCTTGATAGCACGATTTTTATTTATTTACAATTTTTTTTTCTCTTTAATACTATATGTCTACTGCAATTATTATTTTTTCAGAAAAAAAATTTCTAAAGCCATTTTTTTTTACCTTTGGAAAATTAAAATGAAAAATTTAATTAATTTTCATCCGTTTACATTTTTTTTATAAAGAAAATAAAGAAAATTTAATTACCAAAAAGTATTATAATTATAAAATAATATGGAATTATCGACGTGTTTAAAATTTAATTAATGTAAATATTTTATTACAAAAAAAAGAAACATAAAATTTTGAACCAATCGGAATAAAATTATTAAAAAATATAAGCAAATAATTTTTTTTCATTCAAATTCTTTTTATCTCAATCTCTTTACTACCTTGTTTTTTTCTATTTTTTAGGTACAGTTTTTTTTTATTTTCTATAAAAAATTTTTTGTTTACAGAATTGATCAGAATGTTTTTTTTCAAATTCCAATTTAATTAATTCCCGATTCCAAATTTTGATCTACAGCCAAAAACACATTTATTTACTGTCAAAGAAAAGAATTGAAATTTTTCATATTCTCAAATTTATACATCTCGAAAGCAATTTAAATAAATGTTTTCTTCTTTTTTTGGCTGAAAACCAAATTTGGAATATGAAATTGATTTCGAATACAAAAATAAAAATTCAAAATAAATGAAAAACCAAAAATATATTATCATGCAAAAACGATAAAGCAAAATGTGAAAAATTTTGGATACTTGAAAACCATGATAATTTTATTTGATCTAAATTTCTATAATAATAATTAATAACAATTATTAATTATTATATTATTTTTATTATTAATTCAACAAAAAAATTGGGACTATTAAAAAAGCATCACTTTTGTCTTAATAATAAATTTTCTTCTAACCATATTTTAATGAAAAATTTGATTAATGAAAAAGAAGGTCCGATTGAATGAAATTTGCAAATATTGAATATTTCATATACGCAATATAAAAGAGGGATTTCCTGGTGTGACACAATCAAGTAGTCGCGCGACCTTAGTACCAGTAGCACCATTATTTTCATCCCCTCCTCACTGCTCTATCTCCCCCCCCCATTGAATGCAGATGCACTACACATAGTGCGAATGCATTTGAAAAACAGAATGAGACTCACCGTACGGAGGAAGGATACGTCATCCTGTTCAGATCCTCCCTCGCTGTCTGCCATCCTTCTCTATTGTGTGTATAATTTTTAATTTTTAATTTTTTTTTTTTTTTTTTAGGGACTCAGGCACTTATATTTTTTTTCTTTCAGTCATATATAAGCTTTTTTTGCAAAAAAAAATCCAATTTTTCGTCTTGAATCACGTATTATTGAATTTAGCATCTCTTTTCCGCATGGTTTTTCCTTTCTTTTTCTTCTTTTTGGCGCCGGTTTCCGCTCAATGCGCGGGAGATAACCGAGCCTAGCGCCTCTTTGCAGCGTTGATCACCGACTGAACTTTTGGTTATATTCTTCGATGTTGAGAATTCCTTTGGATCCAATACTTTTTCAGAAGGGGTTTTGTGATTCGTAGCGCATGCACACCACGCACACGTGCCCCTCGGTATGTAGGAGAAATTTTACCGTTTACAAATACAAAATCCTCTTTTTCCATCTAATCATACATTGAACGAGAGAAATTCCTTCCTATCCTGCAATTGATTTTCTAATTTTATTATCCTCGATGGTAAATGTTATTTTCAAATGATTTGTCCCTTCAGAGGCGGTAGGAAATCGATTTTTTTCACCCAGTTGGTATTGTATTCTACTTTATAATTTGCATACTAGATGGAGAGTCTATTTAAAAAATTATAATAAATAAAAAAATAATAATAATAAATAAAATTAGGCTGCGTATTCGCATATTTGGATGAGTCAACATTTATCAGATTTTGGCTACAGAGAGCTTGCAATGAGTTTCATTAAATTATATGAATTTGTCAATTTAATTAAAATAAAAAAAATTCTACATAAAAATATTTTTAAAAATCCGAAAACAAATTTTTGAAAACGATTTTTTTTTTAATTTTCTAAATAAGGTGAATATAGTATAGAATACAATCATGACTTGATGAAATAAAAAAAATCCATATCCCACACGATATATATAAACAACTCAATTTAATCCAGATTGATCTGTTTGATAGAGTGAATCTAAAATTTAATTTTGCATATTCGCTTCACTTGACCAGATATGTCCAAAAATACACCAACACACACGTGATGTAAAATCGTGTCCAGAATTTTAGTATTACAAACATTTTATCTACTAAGTTTCCGTTTTACTATATATATAGATGGGTGCTTTGCGAGGAGCATTTGCAATTTGCCTCCGAAAGCCATTCTATAGAATTGTATATAGATATAATACAGAATTCACGAAAAACCTCAAAAACAAATTTCCTAAATTTTACTTAAAAAAAAAAACAACAAAAAAAAATAAATGATATAAAATAATAGTATTATACTATTTTTAATAATAAATAAATAAATTATAAACAAATATAAATTTGTTTATTTATAATTTATTTTATATTTATTTAAAACCTGTTTATGTTTGAAATAAATAAAATAAATATAAATAAAAAATTGCAAATAAAAAGTTTTAACAAATATAAATAAAAACCAGAAATAAACATAAATAAATAATAAAAAAATATATAGATAAAAACTGTAAAAAAATATAAATAAATAAAAATAAAAAATAGTAAATAAAAAAAAGGTAATAAAATTAAATGGGACGTCCATCAATTTTGTAATGTAAATCCCAGTTGGGAATATAAATGTCTTTTGAAGCAAGTAATCATGAGATTTGTCAAAATTTCCATAAGATCTAAAGGAGATTGTCGTTCCATGAGCTCTGATGACATTGAACATCAATGCACTGGAAACATTATGTCTGTGCACTCTCATGAGGAGCACAACTTGTCGTAGATGCCGGTGAACTATTTTATGAGCTTGGAGCACGATAAACTTGAACCAACACTATTTCAAAGATAGCGCACACAGACACACAGACACATTCACAATGACGGAAAATAATCACTTGCTTCGTCCAATAAATCTTTATATTTTCTTTATACTTTAGAGAATTTTTTTTATTTTTTTATACTGTTGAAAAATTTACCTTTAATAAAAAAAAAATCACCACTTTATGAAATATTTTCTCTTTTTTTTTTTTTTTTTTTTTTGAAAATTGCTTATTAATTTTTTTTTTTTTGAAACAATTATTAAAAAATTCGTTTAGGCTTTTTTTTCCTTTAAGCCTCCTCCCGAAAGAGTCGTTAACTCGGCGCGACGACGCGTCGAATAATCATAGCTGGGGAGCAAAATTTCTGTCCAAGCTCAAGAAGCTCTGGCATATTCACGGGGACCTCGAACGGAGCAAGCTGTCTATTTCTGGTTTCGAGCCGTAGCCGTCCTCCTGCATGTCGAAAACTTTCAAGTTTTACTTTCAGGAACGTGTTTCAATTTATTTAGACCCTGTACTCAAAATGACCATACTTTTTTTGTCGTCCCTTTCTTTCAAAATCATTATTATGATAATTTTTACAATTACAAAATTTTAATTTTCTTTCCATTATTTTTGTAATGCTTTGTTTATTATTACCCGCAAGGTGAATTAAAAAAATTTCAATTATAAATTTGAAATTATAAATGATGAATAGGAGAACTATTTTTCTAAAGCAAAAGTTATTAGCAAAAAGTTATTTAGAATCTAGTTAATATTTTAGCTTAGATATATCTTCTTTTAGCAGAAAATATTTTTCACTCATTTTTTTCTACATTTTCATTAATTTTTCTGAAGTAACATTTTCTCATGACGATTAATTTTTTCCCCTTGTTTTTTGTTTAATAGTTTAAAAAAAGACATTTTTTCTTAGAACCTTGTATGTGTAAGTTTGAAAATCATTAAAATTTCAAAGTGATTTATCTTGTTGGATGTCAATGAATTTTCACTGACTGAACTGCAGAACTGTAAATAGGTCACTGCAAAATTACATTTATATACTTAACTTTAAATTTGAAAGTTTTAAAATTCGTTTTCTGGTCCATTTTCGAATGTAAAGGAATAATTTCTTTTTCAAATGAAACATAATTGAATTCTGTTATAGATTTAATTACCAAAATTAATTAAAAATATATTCAAAAATTATCGGGAATTGAAAAAATGTATTTTTATATTTTTAAAAAAAGGCAAGGGAAAAAAATTATTTCGATTATGGAATTTGTAACAAAATAATAACTTTTTCTCCCACCAATTGTTTCAGAAGTTTAAAATGTTTGCAAAATATTCAAAACTGTTTATTTATTTAGCGCAAGAATTATATAGATAGAGAGCAATTTTTTTTATTCTTTGTCGCCTCGCTTGAAAAACAAAACTTCCGGAAGCTCCACACACATTGTTCCCAATAAAATTTTTGAAAACGAGCCAAAAATATACTTTGATTTAAACCTATTCTCTCAGCTATATTTATTTTAAAAATATTTCATAATTTCATTAAAAACTTACCTCACACTTCTTTTGTAAGTTAGACTCGGTAACATTTATTGTTCTTCAAAAAAAAAATCCATAATCAAAATAAAAAAAACAGAAAAGGGGGAAAAAAACATAAAAAATTGAATTTGATTAATTTGATAATACAAATGTCAGGATTTAACTTTGGAAATTCGAAAGACTGGAAGTAGCAATAAATCTTTTCACGAAGAGAAAATAAAACTACATTTTATCTTTCGACACGGTTTCATCAATTTTTATCGACGAAGCGGAAAACTTATCGAATTTTCAATTTATCGTTGAATTACTTTTATTCCTTTTTTGTAACTGAAAAAAATTTTCAGTTTTTTACTGTCGTTATATTTTTTTTTATATTTTCTCACCAATAATTAATTAGAATAATAAATTCATGTGGGAATAAATTTTTTTTTCATAACTATTTTTTTCACATTTTTATCTGTAACTTGCTACAATTTCAATTTGCTTAAGCAATCAGTAAATGGTGCATTCATCTTATCGATTTTCCTTTCGTGATGTAATATTATTTCACCTCGAAAATGAAATGGAACTTCTTATTGTCTTTTTAATATTATTATTATTATTATTATTATTTTTATTGATATTATTATCAGTATTATTATTTATTATGAACAAAAATACTGGATTATTTTTTAAAAGTATTTTTTTTATGATTTTGTCAAGAGTCATAAAAACTTTCTATTCATATAAAATTGATAAATTACTTTTGAATATTATCAATAAACTATCATAGTAGATATATAGATCGATACGATAAAACACAGTAGTTGTAAAATGCAGCTGTTGCAACAAAAAACAATTAATTTCAAAACGAATGGTAAAATAAAATTTGATACAATTCTCAATTTGAGAGGAATACTTCAGTATTCAAAATAAAACTTTTAGTAAAATTGTATTTTCTATTTAAAAAAAAAAAAAATAATTTTCTATTTTTTTTAAAGGATTATTTTGTTGTTTTTTTTTGAAAATTATAGAATGCAATTTGAAATTTTATCAGATGGTAATTAAGAATTTATCATTCATCTCTCTATCTTGTTGGCAATTTCATTTAATTACAAACATGACATATATTTAGGCTTTACCGGTAGTTGTAGATATTGTATGTATGTATATGGTTCATAAACTTTTCTCTTTATAAAGTACATATTAGTATAATAAGCCTAGAGGCAATTTTACATCTTCTGCCATTTTAGTTGCATATCATTTTGTTTAGAGTGTTAAGTAAGCTGAGAACATGAAAATTTCTTCATATATCTTATTACAACATAAACTTCTATATAAATGTAATATATTTTACAAAAAAAAATAATTTTCAAATATTTTTTTAAATTGAGAGAAAAATTCTTTTGGCAAAAGAAAAATTTGTATTAAAATAAAATAAAATATAAAAAAAGCAATTTCTTTCGTTAAAAAAAATTTCTCACAAATGAAGGTGGTGAACAACTATTTTTTAAATATGGGCCATTTTATTATTAAATAACTTTGTTTTAATATTTAAAAATCTCTTAATTATCGAATAAAATTAGCAGCTTTTTATTAAAATTAGTATTTGATTGGAAAACTTTTAGATACTTTTTTTTTTATATAAACATTCCATAAAGTGTGAGAAATATAATTAAAAACATTTACCTAAATTAGAAAACTTGTCTTAAAATAAAAAAAAAAAAAAAAAAGAAAAAAATAGAACGAAATTTACACAATAGACGCAATTGGAGAAAACACTTTGGTTATTTTACATATAACAACAACAACAACAACAATACAGAAACCCAATCTGTGTTAAAGCCGGTAGATGCAAATCTAATTGAATTTCTCCTTCTCATTGAATCCTCACATGTATCCAGGTAATGTTTCAGAGACTCAAGATGAACGTAGGCTTATTCGCATATCTACCATTCTGGCGAGTCAGTTGAAGCACAATTGAATACCAAGCACTCGTTGTTGACGTAGTTGATGGTTAGTGTTTTGCAGTTAGCGACCTACGTTTCTATGGAGACGAACCAACCCTAACACTCTCTCTCCCTTATATAACGTCCACAATAAGATAGAGTGAGAGAGAGGTCAAATTATTCCTCGTTTCAAATTTACATTATAAACAAACTATACTGAAAGCTTCTCAAAGCATTTTTTTTTCTCATAATAATTTTCAATTGAAATTACAAATATTTTCACATTGTAATTATCCTCTATTTTTTGACTTGTCAATGATGGATAAAATAATAATGAATATTAATTTATTTATTAAATTTGTAATAAAAATAATATAAAAAAGTAATATAATAATTAAATTCATAATAATAACATGAAGATAACGATCACTCCGAGTCATCTTCGTTTTATTATTAAAAAACAACCGAGTAATAAAATCATTATTCTAATAATAATAATTATTTTTTCAATTTTAATCAAATAGTAATTATTAAAAATTTTGTCAAATTTTGTTTACAATAATTGGAAAACTTAAATATCCAATTAAAAAAATCGATTTTTCATCATGAAAAAAAAATTCTCAATAACAATTTTTTTCGTCAACCTTTCATTATGAAAAAAAATGAATGAGTAGTATAAATAAATTGACATTGCTTTTGCGTGAAAGCACTGTTGGAATTCGCGTGAATTTTTACGGCTTCTACGATCCCTTGGGTCAAAAGAATAATGACAAACGGCAATACGTATTGGTATTTTTTTTTGCGGTTGATAAATTTTCAAAAGAATCCCTTTTTTGAAAAAAAAAAATTTCATTATTTTTGCCAATGAAATATTTTTTAATTCTCTATATTGATATATACGCGTGATTTTTTTTCAAATTTCAAAAGTGCCAAAAAAAAACAGTTATTTTGTTTTTCCTTTTCGAAAAAATATATATATGAGTTATGAAAATAAAATTGACAAATAGTTTTGCATTTTTCGAATAGTTGAGTTTTGAAAACATGTTAAATAAAAATGAAAGAAATTTATTGAAATGGAGTAGAAAGAAAAATTGTATGACATTCAAAAAAATATATGATGGAGAATCGTGAATGAAGGAAAATTCGCCTATTCAAGAAATCATAAATTTTACGAGCAGTAATTTCAAGAAAGTTATGTATATTCAGAAGGCTATTGTTCAGTAGAGGTGAGTCTGTGTGCGTCTTCCTCTCTTTTTAGTCTATTTAATATTTGAGCCAGAGTCATATAGCCTGGCTTTAGATGAATTTGTGTCCAAGTTCATTATACAATTTCTGGACCACGTTCAATATTCTAAATTTATGGTTAATGTGGATTTATTGTCAAATGATCATATAAGCCATTTTTGCATTTAAACAATGATATTTGCATAACAATACATTTTTTTTCTTTTACGTATAAGAAAATAGTCTTTAGTAAATGCTAATTTTTAAGCATTCGTTATCAGTTACTATAAAAATAATAATTTTTGCAAATATTACTTATATAATATAATCTAAATATTATATATATTTATTATTTAAAATTTTCGAGATAAAATATTAAAGTGGAAAAATTTCGGGAAAAAAAAATTCGTATTACGAATAAAGTGAAAACTTTAAATTTGAACTTTTGAACAGTAAAAGTTTTAACGACTCACTAAAAATGTTTTTATTACAGTCTAATAACACGAATTACATAAAATTTATTACATGCTTGTTCTCTTTTAATAAAGGCAACAGATGAAGCTTTTGTATCTGTTTTAATAATTCCTCTCGTAAAAATCCTTTTTACCGAATGCGGTCTAATAGAAGAATATCATAAAAATAGTAAATATAAATATAATATTATTACAGAATACAGATATTCGAATATAGCCTCCTTTTTTCATTGATTTTAATTTTATTAATTAATTTATATAATTTATTATTCAAATTTTTTTAAAAATTTAATTAATTTTTTCAACAATTTTTTTTTCTGAATTTATTATTTATAACTAAAATAGTAACGTAATATATTATCCTTTAGAGGTAATAAGTGTATTAATTATTATTGTTTTATTATATCACCTTTATATAAAAGCGTTTCTCTTTTTTAGAGAATAAAGTTAAAAATAATTGTCCGAGGTAACTCATTATCCAACTATATTAATATATATAGGAAAATAAATCTATCGATTTTTAAAATATTAATAAATAATATCTTTAGTTAAGTGCATAGATTAAAAATAAGTATACGAGATTTCTTTTTTAAAAAAGTCTAAAAAAGAATTTCAAAATTTTTAATTATATTTTTCTCTTTAAAAGAGATATCCATTTGCAATGTAATAAGAGAAGGATTGGTGTCATAGCAATCTATTGTTAAGGAAAAATAAATTTCCGAGAGAAAATCTAAAATGAAAGAATCTTTTAAACTGATTTCAGGTCATCTTTTCCTGAAGATGAATAGAAAAGCACGTCTTTTTGTATTTTTTTTTTTCTCTACGAGATTATTATAAAGGAGAATTAAATAAATATATTATATATTATACAGTAAATATATACATAAAAAATAATTAATATTATTATTATTTTATATATTTATATATATTGTATTATATATGTTTGAATATTGTCCAATTAAAAAAGAAAAACATTCTCTTCTGACCTTTTCTTTTATTAATTGATTCATCTCACTAGTAAAATCAGATAAAATCCCAGGGAAAATTGGGGCTGAACTTCTTAAAACTTTAATTATCTCAGCAAAATTTTTGCTAACTAGTTCAAATATAACAAGATAGGGATAATACACAAGGTCGTAGGGAGAAAGATACTTTTTAATTTCCGCTGATTAAATTATATATTGAAAAACATCTCCAGAAAATGGGATCTATTTTTTATCCATCCATTATTCAAAAAAAAAAAAAAGTAACAAAATTATTTAAATTCATACAAATTTTTTGAATACAAATAAATTTATTTAATTAATTAAACTTTTAATAGATGAAAATGAAATGTAATAAATATTAATGCGCGAAATACATCTTAATGTATATTTGAAAAAGTGTAATTAAAATAGTTTATCTTGACTCTTGAAACATGATTGATGAGGACAAGTTAATTTCAAGTAAATTGCATGTTACTTGAAATCATTGGGTCATGTTTGAAACACTCAATGTGTATGACGGCTAAATAGGATCAATTTGAGAAAACGTCATATTCGTATAAGTAAGCCGGAACATATAAAAGTTTATATCTCGTTCAAATAAATATAAAAGTTTATTTGTAAAGAAATAACATTACATTTGTGTGTAAATTAAACTCCTTAGATAAAATAATGTGCACATTTCAGCTTTTTTAAAATATTTTTATATCAAATGCATTAAAAAAAAGCAATTTTCGAAAAATCTTCAATTTCAAATGAAAATTCAAACTTCTTTACTTTTCAAAAAATGGGATAATAAATAAAATAATAAAAATTAGAAAAAAAACAGTAGTAGGACATTAATTATAAACTAGAAAAAAATAAACACCTGTACACACTGCATCAGTGTAAAAAATTTATAGATGTATATGTATATAAAAAAATGCGCAGTTGAACATTTGACGTTTTATCTTTAACGTTGACTTTACCGGGTTTCTTTAAATTCTTGAAAAAAAGAGAGATGTATACACTTTTACATTCTATTTTTATTATTGGGTCACGAGAATTCAGTGAACTTTTATATTTTATGGATGTCTCGACGTTGCTCCGTATGTGTCCTATGAACTGTCATTTGCCTCGCGCGCATTGAAACGAGTTGTTTTGTTGGGACATTTTTGAAAATAAATATATAATCATATATTGACAATATATTATCATTTTTAAGATGACTATTCAATTGTTTGCTTTCATTTTCCAAAAATTATATAAATATTATAAAACAGAGAAAAATATTTTTATAAAAAAAAAAAATTTTTTTTTAATTTATTTGATTCAAACAATATAAATATAAATAAATAATATATTAAATTAATATAATAATAAAATAATTTAATATTTAAATAAATATATAAGTTTAAGTTTTTAATGTAATTAAAATTTTTAAATAGCGTATTTCTGTTTACAGAAATAGAATTTTCTCATTTGAATTAAATATATTTTTTCATTAAATTATTTTAAATATTAATGAATATCATCTCTCTAGTTATAAATGTCTGTTTCCACTTGCAGAACGATATTTATATTTACGAATATTTATAAAATAAATTAAATTCATATTTTAAAGGTACTATATCATATTTTTTTTGAGTTAGTGATGAATTGTACTTTCTCTATTGTTGATGACAAATTGTAATAGTTTTAGAGATAAGAGTTTCTTTGTCTGACCAAAATGTTCCACTACCCCTTAAACTGTCTAGAAGGATTATGCAAGTAGAACAAGTGTATTATCGTCAGACACTGACACTGTACACAGGATCATCGTCGCATAAGTTTTCATTGTTTCATTTTTAATTTCCAATTTTAATTTTAATCGTATCTCTCTTTATTAATAATTTTAATTATTTTCAAAATTTATTTATTTAGAATAAAACCGAATTTTTATTAAATAAAATTTTTATTTTACAGATTTTCTCTTTTGGAAAACTGTTTATTTAAAAGAATTTCCATTCAGTAAATATTTTAAAATTTCGGTAAAACGTGTACAAAAATTCAAAACATTGAAATAAAAAGTACGAGACTACTAAAAATATATTTCAATTTTTAATAAATGTATTTCAAATTTTAGAGTAATCACGAATTGTAACATAACTTTCTCTAAATTGTAACATATTTACTAAAATTTCTAAAACTAATTCTCTTAACACTGTAAAAAAATTGATTTGATTCAAATAATCGGTTACTTGACTATTATCAAATAAATATTTACTTAAACCAAATAATTTTTATTTAAACAAATAATTTCTGTATTTGAAACAAATATACCATTTAATTGACTCAAGTATTAATTATTTAATAGAAAAACTAATTATTTAACACAAATATAAGTTATTTAATAAAAAATAAATATTTAATTATTAATATTTTTATTTATTATCAAATAAAAAAAAGATTAAGTCAAAATTTAATTTAAATAAAAATAGTTCAAAATTTAATTCAAATAAAAATTATTAGTAAATATTTATTTGATAATTAAACATTCAAATAGTCAAGTAACCGATTGAATGAAATAATTTTTTTTCACTGTAAAGAAATTCCTCGGCGTAAATTTCAATAAATTCTAAATTGTGTATCAACTTTCCTGCGAGTTTCTCACAAGTCAGGTGTACATATTTTGAATCGATCGAGAGTGGTTAACCTATTGGTTTAAAATTTACATTGCGCATCATAGACATCAAAGACAGGGGGTGAGAGTTTAGTATATTTCACAGCGGTTTCTATCTTCCAATCATTTATCTCGTATATATATATACAATATATATACATATATAGGATTTGCGGGCGGAAATTAAGCAGATTTCCTCTGCGGACATTGAAATACGTATGTGTGAAGATTGGTCCGCGGGTATGCGCGAAATCAGAGCAGAGACCGCAGACGGCAATATCCGTCTGTGCGGGTGGAAGGTCGTGTAAGTCCAAAGCCACTAAGCTGTCACTGGCCCTGTTGGTGGAGCTTTGAGCTTCGAGCTTTGAGCCAGAGAAGCAGAGCAGAGCATATCGGTGAAACGAGGCGCCGAGCGGCGAGCACCTTTGCCAGTTAGGATCGAGCCGCGAATGGAGTAAGCTCGTACCATATTGGCGGCTCGTCCCGCTTTATATATATATAATGCTTCTTCCTCTTCGTCGCGCTTTTGCCGCGCGTTGACAACAAGTGATAACAAAAAATTTCATTCTCTTAAAATAATAAAAAAAAAAAGAAAAAAAAACTAGAGTGAGGTCCCTCGGGAAAGTGCTCGCGAACTTTCCAAGAAAAATTGTTGCAAGGTAAATCTTGGGGGTGTATTTCAAGAGACTAGAAAAAGAAAAAACAAGAAGGCAATGCATCTAATGTCAAGAGTCTGATAAATGAAAGAAGAATTCTCTGCTAGTGGTGAGTCGTTTTTCTCGGGGATTTTTTTTTTTTTGCGGTTCTTGTTCTTTTTTTTTATCTTGTCTTCGCGCGCGAAAGCTCTGATACGTTGCGGACTACTTTTACCGAGCGCGAGGAATGTAATTTTCTTGGGGGGTTTATACACTTCTTTCTTTTTTAGAGCTAAGAGCTTTAAAGTAGGATCAGAGCTTAACTTGTTGGATTTAGTCTCCATGGTTATTAATTTAATATCCGTATTTTATATATACCTTTTCATTAATTATTTATAAAAGATTTTTGCCGGGAAAATTAGAATTAAAATATAAGAATGTAAGAATTTGTATTACAATTTTCTGTAATAAAAAAGTTCAAGACTTCTGTAGTTATATATAAATATTTATTTTTGTATTAACTTTTTTTTCTTATTATTATTTACTATATAATATAGAAAAAGTTAACTTTGTTTGAGAATTACAAATAAAGAAAGAATAGTTTGAAAAAAAAGTTATATTCATAATTAAATTTTTGTTGAGTAAAAAAAAAATGTGTAATTCATAATTGGACCCTTGTTAAACTTTAAAAAATTCAGAAACATATTTATTCGAATCGAATTTCTCTCTCTCTTGTTTGCAGAAACAATTGCAACGGGTATAATAAGTTTTAACAATCCAGTGATTTTTGAGAGGAAAAAAAAATTGTCTAATTAAAGAACATTTCCTGCCTCACATGCAAAACAAAACAAAAAATATGACAACCATAATTTAAAAAAAATAATATTTCAGAATTAAAAATGAAATAATTCTCTCAAATCCAAAAAAAAAATCTGAATATTTTATTTATTTATTTATATTTAAATGGGCTACAAAAAACACCCTTTTGTACAAAGTAATTTATTAATTAAAATAAAAATTACAAGTTGTAATTATTTTTTATTTGTCGAAGAGGAGTAATTTTGAAACGCGTTTGTCATTGTTTTTATTAGTAAATAAAAAATGATATAAAATCATTAATTTAATTAATTTTAATACCATGTAAAGCTTGAAATATTTTTTTATAATTAAAAAAATTATCCCAAAAATGATTTTTAAATTCCGTTCGTTTGGAAAATTAAATTATTCTCTAATTTCATTGAAAAAAAATTCCCAACGCTTGGTATTTAATAAATAAAGCAGAAGTATTTATACAAAAAAAAAAATAATGCAAAAATACCAATGTAGAGAAATGATTTTACATACATAAAATAGTTTTCAACAAAAATTGAATTTTATTTACTTTTTATTTAGTTCATAATTTATAGTTATGTATATAAAAAAATATTGAAATTGCTAAAAATTGTTAAAATTTTTTGAGAAAAAAAAATTTCGTTTCTCTATATAGAAAATTGTTAACACAATTGCAGACATTTAAGACTCCTTTCTTCTTGATTAGTTCTTGAATCTCGAAAGAAAAAGAAGAGGCACAATTCAACGAAAAGCCTTTCTGTAATCTTTTTGAGATAAAAGAATTCAATTTTGCTTTCAAAAGTTCTAAATAAAGGTCTGTTTTTGACTCACATCAATGAATATATACTAATCTGGTTTATTCAAGCTTTTAACTTTATTAAACTTGTTATGTTTAATTTTGTTTTTTTTTTAAATATTAATATTTTACCAAGAAATGCTAAATTTAATAAATTAATTATTATTTCTCATATATTATATTTAAATTATTATTATTAAGCACGGAGAGAAAATGTCAGCAAAAATTACGGTGCTGTCACCTGCATACAGGTGCAAGGTGCTATTACCCAAATTTTTCCTGTGTTGTCCCATTTACATAAAGTGTAGTTTACATATTAGGACAGCACAAAAAAAATTTGGGGTTTCGCATTTTTGTCACCTATTATGAGGTTACTGTATTTTATTACTAAAATTTTCTCTCCGCAAAATTTAACTAAATTTTTTACTTCATTTACTAAATTACTAAAAATTTTATACTCATTTTTTTAAAATAAATTTTTTACTAAATCAAACTAAATTCATAGTTTGATGATAATTTATCATTATAATAATTATACTATTATAAAAATTCATTATTAAATATTATAATTGTTTTTTTTTTGACAAAAGTAAAGTTTTCATTATACACGAAAACTTTTTTTTTTTTATTAACATTTACGTGTGTGGTAAATAGTAAAATTTTCTTGCAATTATTCAGAGAATTTTAATTCCAAAGTAAATAATATGAAATGGAATTCTTCACATTTATTAGATTAGTAACATTGAATTTTTTTGTCCGACATTTTTCTGATATGAAGCAAAATTAGAAAAGAGCGGATATGAAACTGATTAAATATATCCTGAGCAAACATATGAAGAAAAAAAACCGAATAATTTACTAGAATTATAAAAGGAAAATAGTTGAAATTATCAGAGATTTAACTAACATGATACACATAAAAGATTTCCTGAATTTAAAAAAAAAATTTTTTTTCCTTCCTCCCACCATGAAAGGAAGAAAGAATGAGAGAGAGAGAGAGCACGCAAACTTAACGAGGTATCGATTTCGAATTTGTGTGCTATTTTATCGTATTCAGGCGTCGCCTGATATATACTCAGAAAAGGAAACTCGAACTACTTGTAAGTAGCCAGAGGTAATTCATATAACGAAAACGCTCAAATTAAGCGCTAGCTTATATATATAAAGACTATAGCGTGACAAACTGAGCGCAGATCACACAATGATGGAAGTAGGAGTTTTGAATTGGTAGTTTATTTATCGTCTTGTATATATATATAGCATAGTTGCAAAATTACGTAGAATTGCAGAGAACCACGAACACCATATTGTGCGCTATACTAATTCAGTTGCACACACAGGTCGAGTCTCACGACGCGCGGAGCATTGTACTTTCAGAACTTGTCCATCGATCCGCGACGTGACACGCGAATAAACCTATTTCACGCCCAAAAATTTTCCTATACAAAAATATATATTTCCTTCCAAAATATCATCATTCAAATTTTACACTACTTTTCATTCAAAAATCAAGCAAGATTTCGAATAAAAAGAAAATTTTAATGACACATAAAATAAAAATATTATAAAAGAATTACAAATTTAAATTTCAAAAAGAGAGAAATTTTTTTTAAACAACTTTTAGAACCGCGTGACGAGAAATTTTAAGTTTCTTTGTCCCAAATTGTAAAGCGTTTCTAAAAGGGGGACAAAAAAAAATTTTTTATTTCATTCCTTTGACTGTAAGTCGAAAAAAAGTCAAGTGTGTAGAAACTTTTTTTTATGTTATTTTTATCTCACTGTCATTTTATTTTCTGAAATTTTGTTGGGTGAAAATAATTTTACAAAAAATTATTATTTTGTTCAGTAAATTTTTAAATTTATTTAGTAGTAAATTTCTAATAATTTAAATTTTATTTATTTAATAATATAAAAATAAATTTCATTTTCCATAATGTCTGACTGAAACGGCTTGTTCTACTGTTTAATGGCACACGTCTGACTAAAACTACTTTCTCCACTACTTATAAGAGTACTCGTCTGACTAAAACGCGTCTACTTCACTAAAATATATTCCCATAACCCCTTATACATACAACATTCTCTCAGAGATAAGAAAAATGCCAAATGTATGAAATTTGAAAGTGTAATGTGCGTGATAAGAAAAAAGAAATCACTTTTCAAAGTATATATTTTCGAAAAAGAAAAAAAAACATAAATGAAAATTATTACAAAAAAAAAGAATAAGAAATATATATTGTAAAGAAAAAATGAGAAATATCATACAAAAAAGAATGAAGATAATGGAAACAGGAAAACAGTTTAATGTGAAAATGTGAAAAATATAAAATCTCTTTAAAAGGAAATAAAGCGTAATGACGCGTAAATAGAAAAACAAGGGAAAAAAATCACAAAGAAGAGAAAAGCCAGTTTAAAGTTTTTTTTTTCGTTTCGAAAAAAATAACAACAGTTAATTAAACTTTTTCTAGACAGAATAATAGGAAACTGTTATTACACTTGCTGAAAGAAATTAATCTTCTTTTTACAAGTTTACAATATTGAATATATATAAAATCAAAAATTTATTATTATTTTTATTATTTTTACTATTTTTATTATTATTATTTTAAAAATTGTTTATAAAAAATAAAAAATTCTCGAAAACAGATAAAATTTTTAAATAATAAATTAGTTATAACAAATTCGAGCAAAAAAAAATTTTTCAGCATAAGAAATGTTGCCTACATAAAAACAACTCGTATGAAATCCATGACAATAAAAAACACCATTTCCGTCGGAAGACAGCAAATTCAGAAAGTTTTTAACTGCCACAAAAAAAATACAGGAAAAAAAACTCGTATAGGGGAAAAAAATACGAGAGTGAGAGGTATGGAACAATGAAAAGAGGTGCATCCGTCTGCAAAAAACAGGAAAGAATCAAAGCAGTGTGCAATTTCATTTCAGTATTTCATTTTTTTTTTTTTTTTTTTTTTTCAAGAAAAGTGCTATAAAGAAATATTGCTATTGTAATGACACATAAAAATGCCAATATTTAGAAAAGACAAAAAAATCTCAATTTTTGTTCTTTAAAAAAATATAACAAAATAAATGTAACTTTTAACAAAAATTGTAGGTGTTTAAATTTCAATTATTCTTCTTGTCTTTTTTATCAACAATTCAAATATTATTTTTTCTAGTGAAAAAAAACAGTTTTTTTTTTTGCAAAATTATAAATTTATTCATTGTAAAATAGCCATTTTTTCTTCTAATAAGAAAAAATTCTACCATTACAAAACTGTAATTAAAGTCAGTTTCTAATTATTTTCTTTATTGGCTTCTTTTTTTTCCTTCTTGCATAACGAAACATTTAGTAATTGCTTTCATAATTAATTTAAAGTCCACTTAATTGCGATGTAAGTAAATTCTTGTAATTAAAACATTCCCCTTTAATTATATCCCCATGAAATCAATTTCTACAAAAGCAATAAACTTGAAATTCATTTAATTCTAATTTTCATTGAAAA